CTAAGTATGCCACCTGATAAGTACTAAACTAAGAAAGTTTTACGTTTTTACATCCTTAATAAACAGATTCAACATCATTCAAATTTATTATAATTCAAATTTAATATGCATAATGTCATTATCATTAAAAAATTTAGATCAAATTAGACATCAAACAATATTTTTTAAGTGAAAACTTTTATGTGATTTTTTTGCAAAACTTATGCATGTTTATCTTTTGGTTTTTTTGTGTCAAAATTCTTCTCTTCTTTGCAGACAAGTAGTCGGCTTATTTCCATGGCAAAATTGTCTGCTCATTGCTTGGAATTTCTTGCATCCAATTTAGCCTGAAATCAATAAGAAAAGTTACACATCGATAAATTCTTCTAAGGTGAAACGAAATTTATTGGAACATGACAAGATATCAAGGTTAGAAGTTTATTTTATTTTATTTTTTAAAATTATGTATTTTAATATTTAAATATAATAAAAATTTATGTATAACAAAATTTTTAAATAATAGAAGAATTAATCGTTCAATGAATAAAACATGCAATTACTTTCAATCGATGAAATCACTGATGGAGGATTATCCTAAGCAATAAGAGACGAAAGAATGATTAGTTATACATAGCTCTATCTTCTCCATATGACAAATAAGGTTAGTTTTATATGATTTTTAAATGAAAGATATACAATTTTATTTAACTCAATTTTCTTTAGAATTAATGTGAAACTATTTTATTAGGAGAAACTATGTATACTCTTTCATTTTCTCCATTACATCAATTGAAAAAATTCTATGTTGTAATTAATATAATGCTAAAAAGTTCCAATATAAGCCTCAATAATTTTGTTGTCAAACTGGTTAAGTGAAATTAACTACCACTCCTATTCTAGAATAGTTATACCGCCTTTTTGCATCTCAAACTAAATAAGCCATTGAATCTCGAAAGCACATTAAATCTTACAATAGTATGTTTTCATTCACATCATTTGGAGTGAAATCTTACAATAGGATGTTCTCATTCACATCATTTGGAGTGAGGTTAGATAAGGATCTTGCATCTTCAAGACAAAGTATTTGCACTTTTCGAGCAGAAAGGCAAATATATCATGATATTCTAGCATTAGTTCCAGAAGAAATATCCATATTATTTTCAAATATACTTTAATGATATTAATAACGAACTTCAAAATAGAATGAAAACATAGCACAATAAAAATTTAAGTGCAAAAGTTGTAGAGATGCTAATAAAAATTCTAGAAGAAAATCTTTATACCCAAGTCTTACAAAGATTAAATGATATATCTTTGTTTGAGCATTTTAAAATCCGTATTGCAACAAATGCTAATCTAGATCAACAAGTTTATAATCGTCATCTGCTGATCATGTTGCTGCTATATGGGTTGAAGGAAACAACTCAAACATTCCATTGGAAAGAGATATCATAGTTCTTGCTCATTCAAGAAGACGACATAGAGTTAAACATTATTTCGGTTGTTATGACCATTTATAGTATCCTTTGCTCTTTCCAAATGGAGAAGTTGGTTGGCATCAAAATATCAAGAAAGTTATTTTTTAATAATGCTAATGAGAATGAAGCAACAATTGGAAATAGATCATCTTTTATTCAGTAGAAGAAATTTTTGAAGGAAAATGTAAAGGTAATTATCATGAACTTAATATTTTTAAAATTATTGTATGTTTAAATTTTTTAAATGTTATTCATTTCTCATTACTTTTATCATATCATATATAGCAAAATTTTTATCTAAAATTTATTACTTTCATTGTTAGCAAATCATTTAAAAATTTTCACTTTTTCATATAAAATTATACTTTGCTAATTGGTAAGAAATTAAATATACTATTCATTCAATCAAATCCTTAATAAATATTAGCTTCTTATGAAAAAGATTCTAATTTTTTATTTTATAATATCTAATCATACTTTGTTAATTGTTTATTTTTATATACTTGATTAATGTTAATTTTATGTTAAAAATTCGTAACATTAATCTTTGAGTTACTTTAGCGTTTGTTTGATAATTTATCAATCACTTTATATATATATATAATTATATAAGTAATTATTTATATAATTATTTTTAAAAAACAATATTTAATAAATTAAAATTTTAAATTTCGACATTTATAATTATTTTTTCAATTTTTATTTTTATGCTGAATGCATTGACAGAAATATACTTTTACAGTGTTGAAAGAAAAGAGGATCCATCATGCCCAAAAGAGAAAGAGACTTGAATCTTCTTCGAAGAAGGATTAAGGTACTTGATTTTTCTTTTCTTTGTTTTTTTTCCTCTATTCTTTCTCCTTTTCCCAGTTTCCCTAATCCCAATGGCTGTTCAAAGTTGTAATTAATCATAACAGAAAGCAGGGAAAAAAGTGAAAAAGTTGAAGGCCTGGACAGCCCAGACGATAGAGGAGATGACTGAATTAACAAACTCGGTGGAAAAACGTTACCAGGCAATCGTCGAAATCAGGGAAGTGATTCACCCATTAACCTTTGCTGCTGAGGCGTTGGATGCTCAGGTACTCGAGTTCTCCCAAATAGAAGTTGTATTACACTCGAGCTTTGTCTTATAGTAACTGTACTTAAATTTTTATTAGATCCCACTACCGCCATGTCAAATGTTCTCTTTTGCACGCCATCAAACCCACTCTCACAACAGGACAGGACAATTCAATATATATATATATATATATATACATAGTAGTTAGGTTTTACAGCATATATGAAAGGAAAGGAAACCATTGTCTTCTTGGGCAATTTATCTGAAGATTGACGATGAAACCCAGCTACTACAGGGGAGTGAATGGTCATGGTCCGAAAGCACCAAAATGCCTAGCAGGTGCCTTTAGCCGCAATCAAATGCCAAGCCTCCTGCCTATACGTCCATAAATTGAAAAGAGCCTAACCCCATTAGGCATTAGCTAACTGGACCCGCAGGCGTGGATGTGTACTGATAACAACGCACGTGGTATGTGTACTAATAACTACCCATCCTTGGTTTGGTTTGATATTGAAAGCAAACAAAGCGCTGGCTGATCACTCTCTTTTATAAAGCGATAGTTTTGGGTCTACCACTAAATACTAGCTTGATTTCCAAGAAAATAATACAGGATTATGATTGAATGTGGTAGAACAATGCATTTCAACCTTATGGTTCTCTCTGAGACTTTTTAGTGGGTATCGGTTAAAGTAGAATATTTCAATTCAATCATGATAAGGTTAGGATGTTGAGTAAGAAAAAGCAGATCATGATTATTATTCTGTGTCATCAATCTGAGAATCCACGCATAATCCTTTATTCATTACAACCAATTCATGAACACGTTAACCAAAAAAATAATAATAATAAACATGAACAACATAAAAGGTCAGGAGTGGTCATGGCACCAAGATTTTATGTTGAGTGCCTGGATGCCGGAATTATTCTTCATTCGCAGGTCGACTTCTGTATTCTTTTGTTGTGATTTACGTTTATCATGCAACATTCCCAGACATGTGATTATGATTCTCTTTGTGTAGGACTCGAGACCCTCACCTTTTCATAATTAATCACTTACTGAAACTAAATTGTCTCAAAACTGGACCAAAAGTGAATCTTCCTATTCATTTAGCTCAAATATCATACGTTTCTAAAAAAATTGTGAATGATCATTAATCAACAAGCTAACCCGTAGTTGTACATGACAGAATTATCTTAGCAGAAATTTCCCTCGATAATGACACTGAAAGCTTCTGTACTTTACTGCATTAACATTGTTGTGAAGAAATAACCAAGAGGAGAACTCATCAACGGAGAGAGACACTTGGTTCTCATTATCTGCTAGTCTGATCGAGAGCAAGAAACCATGTTGCAAGAAAATGCAAAGTAAAGAAACATCATTAAAATCCCACGTGGCCATGTGACTAAATAGGCAAAGCTATTAAAAACTCGAAAAGAGGGAGAAAAAAAAAAAAAAACAAAATGTTTTCACATTCCTTATTTCTTTAGCTATAAAGTTTCTTCATCGTATATAACTAACTTAACTAGAAAAAAGGTAAACATTAACGTAATCATTCAACGCGGATTTTCTTGATATGAAATTGGAAATCCAGTTAAGGCATTCCGGATACAGCCATGGATGGTTGTATTTTTTTTTTTTTCCATTTTTCAATTAAGTTTTGACTGCTGAAATCAAGGCTTCCTTAATTGAAGCAGAGAACAGCTTGAATCACTAACCTTCCGATAGCTGTCATTAGTTCACATAAACTTCCAGTCAATGTAGATGTAGATTCACAATTATAAAAAAAAAATTTTAAATGAAAAATCAAACCTCGGGCGGTGAACCTTTGAATTATGATCCTAGTATTTTGTCTCTTTAGATTTTTTCCCTACAGGAAAGAACCGGTAGATGATTCTCTCATTCATTAATCGACATCTACATGCATGGTCTGTTCATAAATTGGAACTCTTATTAGATTTATCATTGATTCGAGAAACTATTTCTTGGAGTTATTGAATCTCTCCTATCAAGGCAATGAATATTCATCCTCAAATTCCTAAACAAAATGCTTCTCTATCATGGAAAGCTGAATGCCAGCAGTTTCTTAGAAGAGTTAAAACACTTTACAATTATTACTTCAATGGGCAAGGACTCGCTTTCCAATCTCCAGACAGGAGTTTATTAAGTTGCATTTCAAGCAAACAACATGATACAACAGATCACGCAGCCGGAATTGGTTAGCTTGTAGAACTCACCAAAATCAGCAGCAAAATGTAGTAAATCCAATAAAGCAGGGGAAATACACATCAAAATATGGAATCTGCTTCTTTTTGCAACTTTATAATTCACTTTCTGATTGGATAAACTACTTACTGCCCAGCAAATACAGAGCTTGGTAAGATCATCGTTGATTTTTAGAGTTTCAAGATCCAAACATAACTAACAAAATGTAACAAACAAAACAAAAGTCACTTAAAATAGAAACTAGAGAGTCAACAAATCATTAACGTATGAAGAAATATTTCTACATTTCTTATCTTATTAAGCATAAAAGAGAGCATGCAAAATCAGTAGTACACTCTCATGAAATCTCCACTTTATCACATCAGAAGGGTCAAGATAGCCCTCCAAACAAATGCATCCGAAACTGGAATCTCCTTTTCTTTCTCATGTACACAAAGATACAAACAAGCCAAAAACACAATCTTCAAAGAAACATTTGAAGAAATGGCCAGACAAGAATCTTACCCATGTGCAAAGATCCGACAAGCAGATCCACTAATCAACCCCCTTTAAATCTACAACAACAAGCTATTTACAAAAGTTAATCTTCTCCGTGTCAAGCAAACAATGCCACTGAAATATCAGCCAGTTTTTTCCTGTTGATTGACCTGTGAGACCGCCACTGCCTCGGAGCATTTGGAGGTTCAATCTCGTCTAACTCACTTGATTCTTCGAAATCGATTGAAGTTCGAAATGCCTTGGTCTTTCTTGGTGTGCTATAAGCAAAATGCAACTGCTTTGCAATTACAGTCTGAGAAAAAAGGAAAAATCATAGTCAAAATCAGATTGAATAGTTAAGCAAGAAATGAAAATCTTATATTCCAAATTAAACTGAATTATACTCACGGCTTCTCTGATTGATTTAGAAACATTAAAAAGTTGCTTCAAATCTTCATGATCCACACCACAAATAATCCTAATCTGTAAGAATAAAAAAAAAGTAAATCTTTCCCATCAATCACAATCTCACAATCCAAAAATAGAAACTAACAAAAAAAATGAAGCTTTGGGATTCTTAGTACTTACAAGAACATCTTGGGGAAGTGATTCAAGAGCAGATTTTTCGTGGTAATCATCAATTATCATCATCATGATTCTGTCACTGCATTGCCTTTTCAATAATGGAACATTGATTGCAGAATCAAGAGGCAAAGATTCCTCCTCATTTGATATTCCAACCCTTTTCCTCCCCAACCCGCGACTGAATCTCACAAACCCTAACCCTAATCCTAACTCTTCTTCCTCATTCACACCACCATGCTTCAACTTCAGTGAAGAAGTACCGCATACAGAGCCCAAACCCATTTCCATAACAAGCTCCAAATGTCCAAAACAAAGCGTTAAACACTTTTAGTAATCTGAATCAATCCCCCCAAAAAGAGAAACTCAAAGATTAGATTTTTCACTTAGAAAATGAAATCTAAAGAGGGAAATCCAAAAACAGTTACTGAAAATACCTTAGATTCCAAAACCCAAAAAATAAATCTTTACAGAAGCAGAAAAGCTACACCAAAAGTGAAACTGAATCTGGGGTTTCTTTGTTCAGATATAGAAATAACATAAAACCCTAAATTTGAGAGAACAAAACATAGAACTGCCGATCAGAACAGAGTTGCTTTAAAAATGGAAACTTCTACATATATGCCGATGAAAAAGGCGATATTTTTAATTTTAAAATAAAAATATCTACGCGTTTTCAGCCTTTTTTTTACCACTAGAAACTACCGGAGAATTCCGATAAAAAGGATAAATTTTTATTTTTCTCTTTCTTTTTAGCTTCTTTTTTTTTTTTTTCTTTCCCTCGTGTGTGCCCGGGGGATGAAATTTAATATATTATATTATAGTGCCTTGGCGGTTAAATTCGAAACTAGCCGTTGGGGAGGGAGAGAGAAATTATGTGAGGTAGGAAACAACTTGGGCGGTGCTGGAGATGACGTGGAGATATGGTCGGACCAAGTCCGCTTTGTCGGCCCGTTTCTTCAACACGTTTGGTGTTTGTTCACCTGTGGGTGGACGTACCGATATCGAGTGACTCTGTCAAGGAGTCGATCTGATTAGAGTTCTTATTGGTCAAGGATGGGACACGTGTAAAAGTTCAGTGCAAACGTTCACATGAGAGTAGGTGAGTGAAACTTTAACAGTGGCCAATGGTTTTGTTTGACCAGTTGATTCTAATTCGGAGGCTGACTGCTGTTGCAGGTTTCACACGATTTGGACGGTCAACACACGTCAATTCTCAACACCCTTAGCTGTAAAATTTTAAATAAAAAAATAACAAATACTTTTAAATAGTTTTTTTTTCCGAGAAAAAGTGATGAACAAGCTTGAATATTGGAAGTTTCGGCCTGCTGATTGCTTCAAAAGAAAGTAGGAATGTTTCATTTTCTAACAACAAAGAACAATGCCAAAAGTGTTCTTTCGGATGTTATTCTAAGATGTTTTTTATATGTAAATTTAATAATTTAAAATATAAAAATAATATAAAAATAATATAATTTAAAATTTTAATAATTATTATATATAAAATTAATAAAATTTTAAAAATATATTTTATGTTTTTATATTGATATAAATTATGATACGTAATTTTTATATAAAATATTATATAAATTTTAATATTTTATATGATATAAATACATGAATTATAAAATTTAATTATATGAAATTTGATACATAATATTAGATTAGTCATGGATACTAATCTCTTGTAGGATTAATTGGTAAGTTGTTAAATTTAGTATCTTAGAAAATTTAAAAGTGTGAGAGAAACCAAAATTAAGGATTACTATTATGAGTTACAAATGACAACTAAGAAATATTTCAAAAAAGAATGACAACTAAGAAAAGAGCTGTTATTGTATAAAATAGTAATTATATATAATTCCAATGATTAACCTGTGATGAATTGGTAATTAAATTAGCATGTTAAATTAACTCTGCTACTAAGTATGAAAGCAATATGTCAATTAAAAATTACTTTCTATGTTAATTAGATTAAAAAATCTTTGATATAATATCGTTTTTAATAAGTGAGTGATAATGAAATTAACGATTATCGTTAGGATAATGAAATTGAATTTATTTGATTAATTTGCCTTGTATGTTTATGATTGATAAACAACTTTAACCTATGCTATGCAAGAAAGGATGCATATGCATTTTAAAAGAAAACACGTATTAAATCAAAACTGAACTTTTCTAATATTACTTTCTATATTGATTAGATTAAGAGATTTTAGATCTAATATCTTGTTTAACAAGTGAATAATAACGAAATTAACGATTATCGTTATAATAGTTAAATTGAATTTGTTTTGAGTTAGAACCGAACTTTTTAAAATTACTTTCTATATTGATTAGATTAAGAGATTTTGGATCTAATATCTTGTTTAATGAGTGAATAATAACGAAATTAACTATTATCGTTATGATAGTTGAATTGAATTTATTTGATTAATTTTTGTATATGCTTATCAGTAAACAACTTCAAGCTATACTATATATGCAAGAAAAGAATGTATAAGCAGTCCAAGAGAAAATATGCATTAAACCAAATACTTATAACTTCATTAAGACAACATAAATGGAAGAGCAAACAGAAACATTTGTGATTCTTTCAAAACAATTCATCATTGTTCCAAATTACAATCCTAGGTCGAAAAACGCCATTAACAAGCTAATCTGTGTTCCCTTCGACGGGAATTAATGTAACTAGGCTGAAGAAATGGAACAAGATTGATTTCCCACCGAACTAATTAAAACCGGCCATCAACAGATAGTAAGACTGCTGGCTTAAAAACAGGTCTTGGAATGCTTGGGAGAGGGGCTCTTATCAGTGTCCCGATCACAAAAACGAACTTTGGCTAAAGGAGAGACGGGGACACGCTCACAAATCTTCCTACAAAATAGTATGTTCTGAACATTCACGACCCCCTCTTTGGTAGTCTTGGGACAAACTAGAACTAAATCCTCCAATACTACAGCCCGTTCCAACAAATATTGCAGGATCTCTATTTCATGATCTTTAAACGTGAAGCTAACCATTTTGATAAATTGAAGGCATTTCAAGGGTTGAATGTCTCGTTCAACTAATTCACTTTGATATTTCCAATTTTCTTTAGGTTCGAAAGAGAATCCCTTAAACTGCAAAAATTTTTGAAGTTTCAAATACCATGCAAGCATTGTTTTGGAGCATGTAAAATTAAATGATTAACACATGCTTACATCAATGAAAAGTTTTTCCAGGCGAGGGCATTTCTTCAGAAAATAGGCAATATGATATAGATTGCAATATACTGCATTTTCCATGAACAACTGTAGTTCCTTCAACTTCCCAAAGTGAAATCGCAAGATTCTATGGAAATATTCCGGTGATAGATCCTACGAGACAAGCCAATTAGCTCTTTAAATTCATATATTCATATCATGATCAATGAAAATAAACTAATGGAAGTAGTGTATAAAATCTTAACGCATGTAAATAGATAAAGCTTGAAATTAACACTTACCTCAAGAAGGGTATTACTGGCAGAGAGAACAGCAATATGTGAGAGATCGCATAAGAAACTATCTCTCCTGAAAAATTTTTCAATACCTTTTAGAGGCTTGAAATTGAGGATCACATCATTTAGTTGAGAAATCTCAACAAATTTGAATAAAATGAATATCCCACTATAATGGATTGAGCGGATTGTTGGAGCATCAATATCAACCTGATATAAACCCAAGCAATCACCCAATTTTAAGGCCTTGAACCTTCTTAGATTTTGGGCCAAAATCCTCAAGTGACCAATCTTACGGCACTTTACCAACTCCAAAGTCTCGAGAGACAAGCAGTTGGAAAACACTGTTTCGAGGAATTTTGAATTAATTTCAATCCTCCTTAGCACGAGAGTTTTCAGAGAATTCAAACCTCGGAAAGTTGGTAAAAGGTCAAGTTCACAGCGGCATAACTTCAGGATTTTAATTGACTCAAAATCAGCAAAATCTGTAGTAATCCTGTAAGGGTCTTTTGCTAGACTGAAATTCAAGTCCAGCTCTTCAACTTCTTTGTCGATTGAGATTTGAATCCAATTTTCAACAGCATCTTCAACTCCTGTTGGATCAAAAAATAAACGAAGAGTTTGAATGTTTTGTCCTACATGGAGTTCAAAAACACGGTTAACAATATTCAAGAAATCTTTTTGAGCATGGCGTTTGGCAAAATCTTTATCGAAACACAGTTTTCGATTAAAAAACCAAGATTGCTTGAATCTTGTTGCCACTGTTGAAGCTTGCACTGCCTCTTTGATTGGCAAAAAGGAAAAGATGTTGGTAAGGACATCATCAGGGACATCAAAAGCCAGGTTAACTAAGTTGGCATCAGTTCCACTAGGAACATTACTAGGACGAAGACGATGACCACGGTCACCTAGATTTTCTCTCTTGTTTTTCTTTCGTGGGTTTGCCAGGTTCTCAATTCCTGGAACCGCCATAGGATCAAAATATCAGAAAAAAGTTGGCCTCTCTTTCTATGAATTACTACTATTTTCTGTAAAGGGACAAAATGATCTTATTTTCTAGCAAATGCAACAAGTAAATCTAAGAAACTATAGGAATTGAATACTACTCTATCACTAGGAAGAGAGAATTCAAGACGAATGAATGAAATGTGAGAGAAGACAGCTTCATTTAAATAGGCGAAAGAGAAAATAAATTAAGAATGATTTCATTTAGTGTCGATTCGTTTTGTGTTGAGAAAATTTTAGATTCTATACAATTGGGTTTCCATTTCTGCAGTTCTCTAGTGTACGCAAATCAGCTAAAAAGTTCTATCGTTTTGAGTAGGTTTGTCTTAAAATCCTTCACCCTCTTCCTTAATAGAGCCTTGATATTTTTGGCAAATAAAAATAAATACCTGCAAAATGAGCATAATTGGTATGGAAATACTATACCTTACATGGATAATAGATATGAATAGGATAACAATTTTAAGCATAAATGATATGGTAGCATACAAGGTTTACGCAACAAGCCACCCTGGAAAGTTATGATTATTCTCTGCTTTTCACCATATTTGTCTGAATATTCTTTTTTTAGAGTTTCCAAATGACACACACACACACACACATATATATACACACACACACACACAAGCAAAACGATAGCAATAGATTTTTTACCATAATTTTCCCAGTAATTTTCCCATTGTGGAACATCAATGCCCTTTTAGATATTATGGAAAAAAACACAAAAATATGGAAAGAAAATAAAATTTTGGAAGGAATTTATATATAGAAGAATTTAACTTCTATATACATTTTAATTTCTATATCAAGAATTTAATACTAAAAGGCAGTAAAACAACATTTCTGAATAGTGGGTTATGGTTCAAAGTTAAGGCTTGAAAAATCACATTATTTGTCAAATAAGGACTAAAAAAATTCTTGTATGCTTGAAATGGTATAGAATATGTTCAGATTATTCTTCCAATTTATCCCATAGAGTCATTTAATTTAGTTAATTTTATGTATTTTCAAGATTACCACAACAATCTAGACACCATATGGTGATCTTATCACCACAAATCCAAAATTATTTACATGAAGATCAAATATTATAACATGAAAATATCCAAAATAATCTTATTAAGTATTTTGAACAATGAATATTTTAAATAAGTAAAAGTTTATTGTAGAAAAATATTGTAATGCAATTTTGGGAAAAAAACTTTTTATTTTTAACAATTTAAAAAGAGTAAAATCTTCCTAGATTAATTTCAAAGATTACACATACCTCAAAAAAAAATTTCGGACCATCTTCGATATGAAATTTATGAGAACAATCTTCAATATGAAATTTAGATTACTCCTCGACGTAGATCTAATCACCTTTGGCCTCCAAGATTAGAGAATACATAGAAAAGTTAAGGATATATGCTTGAAAGAAATTTTTTTACACCCAAGAGAAGTAATATTGTAAGGAATGGTGTTGAGGAGAGATGAATTAGTAGGCTGATACTGAAGGGCCTAGAGAGTATTCATGTATTCTCCATTTTATAGATGAAAGGAGATTTTCTTTAATTATAAACACTAAAACACGTTAATTGTAATGGAAGAAAGAAAGAGATCATGGTTTGAAATCACGATTTTTATGTTTTTCTAAAAAAATTTTAATCGCTAGATTAAAAAATCAAGAATATATATACTACATTTAACGTATTGCGTATATGTCACGTGACTAAATACATAAATTATAAATTTTGAATGTGGAATAAAATTCTCTTATTTTTTTAAACAATCATTTTACTTCAAGACCTAATGATAAATAGACCATTTGGAAACATCTTAGCTTTGGTTCAAAATTGAGCAACACCCATAATTTCCCATAGCCTAGGGTATATACCATGCTAAAAGTGGTAGGTTCTGGTAGTGATCACACAATGGCATTGTAAGATGTCAAACATGAGAGAATTTCCATCATTGGATACATGCAGTGGCGAAATCACCCACATTTGAGTTAACAATATTGTTGCCAAGCATTGAAAAGCAAAAGGAAAACTCTATTGATAGGGACATTTGGCTTTCATTATCTGCTGGTTTTAGTAAGAAACCCTGTTGAAAGAAGCTCCAGTACTGGATAAGCCACCTTGATTGTAGAAAGGTGCTGTCGCTGAAATAAAGCCACCCTGTTCTAATGCCTCCACTGGATAAGCTTCACTTTTTTTGCTTCAACTCTTTGTCAATTGAGAGTTTAAACTTGGCTCTAAGATCGTTAAAAGGAGTTTGTTGCATTAGATTAATTTTGGTTTCACTCTAAGAGGAGAAAAAATTACCATTTGGGAAAATTCATGAGCGGATGCATGAATGAATTTATAAAATGGTGGTACACAAGCCATTATGATTAAAAAAGAAAAAAACCATGTTCACCCAATGAAATGGGAGATTAACTGGACTAAGTGTTGAAGCTAATGACAGTGATCAGCCATTTTTGGTAAACCCCGTCACAACTCACATGCATTTGTTAATTGTTAATCATTTATGTCTTAGAAGCCTAATGATGAGTTACCAAGTAAATAGCATGCCATATCGGGCGGGAGAAGAATAAGAGTAGCATTTTGCTAATAGCAATTCTGAAATATATTTATAACTTGATGTAGGCGAAAGAACAATATTTTGCTCAACTAGCTGTTATCCTTGTATTAAATGTGACAAATGTACAGTAATTATGAAAATGACACTTAAGAATGAAACCGATACATTAAAATATTCAAAGAAACAACTACACAGATCCTTTAAGTCGGATTGCTACGAATAGAGTAAATAAGATGATGAGTGACATGTGAAATCTCAATGTTACTATGATAGAATACGCTGCAACTAGGGATGCATATATCGATGGATGTATTGTCCTCAGAACTAGTGAGAAAACAGGAGCCAGACCTGCAAAACCAAACCCAGAAAATTCAAAATTAAAAGAATGTAAAAGCAAAAAAAAAGAAAAAAGGAAATGGAATTGGTGGCAAAAGGGGCAATGTAAATACCATTTGACGCCTTTGAGAAAATTGTTAAGGTTCGGACCAGTTCTGAACTGCTTATGTAAGTGGTAGGCTATCTGCGGAGGAACATCGAAAGTACTCGTAGGCCACTCGTATTCTTGTCTCTTTGCCAGTCTCAGTTTTGATTATCTTTTGGGCTAATTTGTGGAGGAAACCCTTGTAGTTTAGTTTAATTGCATTTTTTTCCCCAATATTTTCTCTGTGGTTCAAAATTGTCAGCAATTGGTGGATATATTATATTTTACTTTCGTCAAAACAGGTTTTGTGATGATTTTGATGTTTGCCATAATCATCGATTTTAAATTTTAATTTGAAGAAAGGATCTGTTGAATGGCTTATTTTCAGCAAGCATATAATTGAATATTAAAACGATTCAAATCATAGCTGTTTCATATCTACATTTCAGTTACCCTCACCTGTATTTTTTACCAACAATCTTCATGATAAGCTGTAAGCACACGTTCGATTTGGCAGCTTCCTCCCGCCCAGGTTTGGCGTTTGTACCGTAGAGGATAAGCAGATAGCGACGGAGAGATTGATAGAAAATGAAAGGGCGTTAAAGGATGGCTTGAAATCACATGGCAGGGACCAGACGACAGCATCCTGTTATAATTAACTATGGTTGGACCAATCCTCTTTAATGTGCTGTCTGGCCAAACTCCATCCTCCAATAATGTATAGACTAGTATTTCATTGTAGCCATTACACATGCACCATCCAGCCGTGAAAATGATTTCCATCAAACAGAGCTTCCGCATTGTAGCCACAACGGAGAATATGAACCGCCATTGTAACACAGGAAGAAAGCTCTGGATTAAATAAAAACATAGTTCCATCATGCAGCAGTGAGATTTTGCTCAGGCAATGTTATCACTGCCACTAACATTTATTTTTTTAAGTTACAAGTCAGGAACATAAACATGTCCTTTATTTAGTTAGATATCAACAGAATAAAATAGAGAGCAGAGATAATAGTCATCTAAAGTAGTAACATACATCTGTTACACCTGCTACTTGGACTCGTGCAGGAGACGTTCCCCCTTGATAACATTTCAAGCCTCCAGCGTTAAGACACCACCTGAACTGAAACCCTACTAGTTATGAAGGAAGCTTACTGTACAGTGGAGAAATGTACAAGCAGAAAGGTCCCTGGATGGCAAAGTTAGAATCCAAGCAATGCAAGGGTTCGAAGCGCAAGACCCTGGCAACAACTCTAGTCTTTGGGTCTTTGCTCTGGTTGGGTTAGAATCACGCAGGGAGATGGAAGGAAGCCTACTAACACCACATCCAGACAGGTTAACATCAGAGGCTAAATTTATGAATCATCCAACTCAACGAGGTGTGCCCGCCTTTCAGCGGCCTTTTTCCTAATAAAGATGCCCCATCTCAGGGCTGCCTTGAGCTTGAGCCACCCTACTACGGCTTTGCCAGATGAACGAGATGCTTCATTATCAAAACCATAAGTCAGAGATGGCGTGGGCATATATGTTGAGGAATAAGGATAACCATCTTCAGGAGCATTAAAGGGAGTATGGCTTTGGCTTCCCGTGTTAAAGATTTGAAGCAAATGCTGCATGTCTTCAGTTTCAAGCATCTCATTACTTCTCATTCTAATCTCCTCCTCTGAGATGAAATCCTCGACTCCCTTGAAAGTAGGAATATTTGATGTACCGACACCATGGAAACCTGGCATGGATGACTGAGATGGACCAAGTGCTAACCCATTATTGTTTCCTGGAAGCTGGACCTGCTGTGAAGCACTGACCAAGGGGTTCTGTAGAGTGAATGAAGCACCATTCAATTGAATCTGAGCATTAAGATGTACATTTTGTGATTGCATCGACAGTCTGGCAGCCATACTTTCGTCATAACCTAGAGAGATGATGAACACAGTCAACAAAAAACATGTACAGATTCAAAAATTTAACAATCAAATAACAGTCACCATGGGTACGGCACGTTTTTTATTTTATTGTATTTTTTTTAAAAAAAAAAGTGTAAGGGAGAGGGATTGTTTTTCACTTCACCTATGTACTCAAAAATAGTTTGTAAAAAATGGCAATTTCATATGAAATTCAGGTTCACATTCAGTCAAGAATTTATACCTCCAATATTTAGACCAGAATCCATGAGAGGCTGCTCTGAAGCAACTGGACCTGGCAGGCTTGGTAGAGTCTGCTGCTGGTTAATCAAACTTGGATAGCCTTGTGGATCCATTGGAACATTGGCTTGTGAAACACCTGCACTATCATCTTCGTTACAGCCTTGTAGAGACTTGCCATCATACTCCACAAAATGCATCCAATTTTCATATGCCTTGTTTACCAAGGCATCCACATAAACCTGCAAGAACATAACGAATGGAAGTTTTCTCGAGCTTCTTTTTTAACGTGTCATTTTATATTATGGCAAGAACATAAAGGAACATAGGCAAGTGCTGTACCAAATCCAGTACTCGAAATAAATGAGTAGTTGAATTCAACTTGTTAAAACAAAAGACTGTGACTTTCAAACAAAGTCTGCATAGCTCCAATCAACATCAAAAGGGTAAATCATACGGGAAAATTAGGGTCAAGGAGTAGATAATCTTCCATTTTATTATTAATATATAAACACACTATAAACTAAATGGGTTTGACTATAAATGCAAACTAAATCGAATACATATCAGAACTGCAAGTTTCTTTACCTTCTGATTGTCTGAAAGAGAATCAGCAGCATAATATTGTCCATTAGCAGCAATTAGGCCACTCAACTCATAGATGTTGTTAAAGACTATGCCAACACTCCTCACATCATCAGGGAAATAAACATAAAGTTTCCCACTTAGAACACAAGTTTTTGCATGCTCCACCAGAACATCCCACATCTTATTAGACATTCCACTTCCAAGAATCTACAAGAAATGGATCAAAAAATAGTTACAGACAGAAGAACAAAATATAAGACTGATTTGAGGATGAGACGCAATAGTCTTACATTTCTCAGCCTCTGTGAGTCCCTAACCACAAGTCGTAGAAACTCTTCAACCGTAAAAATTCCAGCTTTATTGAGCCTCTTGTGAAACGACCCATCTTTGCCAATCTTCTCCAATCTCCAGACCTCATCATTTAATGAAGGTGGATAGTGCTTTTTGTATACTGTTAAGGAAAAAGAATAAAAAGGCAATGATTTACTGGCTCTCAAATAACCAAAGTTAAGTCTATTTTTGCTTCACAAATACAGATGCTTTCCAATAACCAAAGTTAAGAACTCACGTTCTCCTCGGTGATCCTTAACAGTGAAGGCATCTGTTTTTGCTTCACGAATACGGATGCCTTCACAAGAGCCAGAGGCAACCTTTAGCCCTAGCCTGAATTTCCTGCTCCTAATCCAGCTTGAATTGTCAGTAAATGTTAGCTCCCCTAGTGTTCCTACACCTTCCTCCAGCATCACCTGCAGATCTCCAGTTAGTAATGGCCTCTTCCCTTCACGCTCCTTGACAACATGGCTGTCAAATTCTTCTTGGGTCCAGTTGTCATCATCTTCATTGTTGAAATCACCCTCAAGCACAACAACATCTAGTTTCACTGAGGACTCTGGACCGCATGTGACGACGTGACCAGTGTTTGCATCAACCAAGACAATATGGATAGCAGCACCCTGCTCCCCTTCGACTTTCCCTCCGGTAAAGAGAGGGAGGGACAACCTGGATCTAAAGTGCAGCTGCAAATTTCTTCCATCAGGTCCTTGTATCTGTTTAGGGGAAGACCTGCAGTTTCTATACCATTGTGAGAATGAAAACAAGAGGCAGAGTTATCACAAAACTTTGCAAAATACACTAATGGCAACAAGAAAAACGCATTAATTGGAACACTGGCACACTGCAGGTAAAAGGTGCATGAATTGGAACAACAATCACCAGACTTCTGAATAATCAAGAGAGAGGCAGTCATAAATGTCCTTGGGCATATAGCAGAACTTTGTCACAGAAAAAATTTGCCAAACTATGCTAACTTGAAATGAAAGAGATGAAATTTAAAGGAAATAATATGGAAATGAATGCAACAAAGGACAACAACAGGTATATACAGACAATAATGTTATCACAAGCACAATAGTAATGGGGCACATATGCGAGGGAAAAACAAAATGCACTAGTACAACACAAGTGTAATTCCAAATCCCTCCTTTATTATTTTGCAAAAGATCTTAATTGATTTCAAAAGTATTGAAAACATTTTCTTCTGATATTATTACAAGATTTAAAGCAGCAAAAAAAGTTCATACTTAGCAGTAAGCTTGGCAGGACCTAGTTTTGCTAAAGCACGTTCCACTTCTTCACTGACCTGTTCATATTGCCGAGACCAGAAGAGTTATTATGAGTTTATAGAGCATTACCCTCCAAATGAGAACATGAACTAAGTAAGAACTTCAAAAGAGAAGAATAAAATCCAGAATCTTACAACTCTCCGAAGAATAGGCTCCAATGATGAGCAAAGTTTCTGCAGACTATCCACCTTCAGAGCTTCAACAATGACACTGCATCAAGGTCAAAGATCTTATGTTAACAAAACAACTTCTTTGGCATTTCCCCACCAACAAATAGAAGTTTAATAGAATTCTGACATAAAGAAAAATAGTCAAAATTATACATCAAATGTAGATTTCCCAGTCGTCAATATTAGTAAAGTTGTTTGGCCAAAAAAATTAGTAAATTGTTTTTTTTATATATAAAAAAAGTCAAGGCATGAAAGACAGGGTTTTCTCAGTTTTTTAGGCTTTGTCAGTTAAGACACTGCAACTGGACCAACACCCATGACCCATTTTCATCTTGTTGACATAACAGAGTTGTCCCATTATAAAACAGTCCATCCACATAAACCAACACAGCTATGGCCTTCCTGCAGCTCTGCTTGTTTATCACCTTTTCCCTTTACTTATCAACTGTTTTTATTTTGTAATTAACTCAGAATATCCAAAATTATTTCTTTTAAAATCAAAAAAACTTTTTTGAAAAACCCTACATTTTATTGCATGTGAAAGCAGTAGAGATTTTTTTTGTTCAATTCCAACAACTTCTTACAGCATCTAAACCATTTAATGCATAACTTTTTCAGATTCAGTTGACTGTGAATTCAATAAAAACATCTTTCTTACATCAACAAATTACACCCAAAACATAAAGCATAAGACAGACACAGAGAAAGAGAGAGAGAGAGAGAGAGACCTAGCAAGAGCAGGTCGTTTCCTATCAGGTCCTTCATCACCGGAACTCGAATCCAAACCTCTCTTCTCTCTTGCCATACCATTCGACCTCTCCATATACCTCGTTTGCATTTTCAAACTCAACCTTTTGGTTGGAGACAAAGAAACTACCAGAAAAAAAAAATACTAAACTCTTCTTTTTTTCTTCTCTTCACCTACTTTGAGCTTTCCTTTTCTCAAAAACAAACACAAACTCGAACACCCTTCTCTTTTCTCTTTCCCTTCAAAGTTGACCCAATTTTATCCAGCAAAAAAGGAATCAAATTTCTTTCTCTTCCTTTGTTCTTTCTTTGCTTTTTAATTTAAAAAAAAAAAAAATGAGAGAAAATGCAAAGGACCGAGAAAGAATAAAGGTGAAAAGCAGACTTGGGTTTTTGGAAAGAAGCTTCGAGGAAAAGTCTGCGAATTTTCCTTCTTGTGTTCGTTTGTTTGGAAGCTCTTTACGCTGTTTGTCGACTTGTTTTTACAGTGACTGCTTTGGTACCGTAGCTATCTGTTTGGACTCGGACTTCAAATTCTCAGCTATGATTTTCTCTTCTCCAAGAGCTGCGGGGTCCCTTGATCAGAGCCGTCGGATTATGGAATCTCTTTTATTGTATTGAATAATAACGAGTTAGCATTCCAATTTGCTCATTGGCAGTCGAAAAAGCATGATAAAGACAACATAGAGGTTATTTGCAAAGCGTTAAACTTGTATTACAATCTTCAATGTGAAAGAACATTTGGACATTATCCATAAAAAAATTTGTTTTCTTGTTCCTTTTCAACCCCTTGTGTCTGCCTCTTTTGCAACTTTCTTGAATGGTTTTACTTTTACTCACAGGAAAGTTGCGTTTTTTATCAACTCCGTCGCCAACTGATCTGAGCATTGTCGTATGTGTCGTTTCATTAGACAAGTCATCTTCTTCCTTTCGACAAATCTCAATAGTTGTCACCCTGTCATGTTGCCACTATCATACAATGTTGTCCCTTCCACCAATCAACAAAACCCAACCACATAAAAAGAAAAGAGCATGAAAATCATTGTTCTCAATAAGCATTATAGTATCCTGTAAATCTAGCAGCTTGTAGGATTAGAAATATCAGAAACTGATGCTGTTGGCTCTCTTTCCCATTTTCCTTATTGTTCTCATCATTTCCATCAGGTCCTGAGCCTGTCTGACCGGTGCTCCCCCATATAGGGCAAATTCTTTTTCTAACTTTCTCTTAAAAATTCATCAACTGAAGAACTGATTAACATAATTAAAATTGTTTTCAAGTTAGATGAGAAAGCCAAATATTAACATGCGAGTAGCAGTATATATGACACAGAGTTAAATGAAAAAACAATACTAAAATGAGTGACAACCATGGATGATCAGCATGACCTCCAATACAAACTAGAATCTTCTAGGATAATTAGCTCACATATGAACTCATAGAGGTATGTCCCAATTCCTTGTATAACTAGTGTCCGCATTTAAAGGTCGCCTGATTTCTAATACCTTGAACCTTGGTTGCCCGGGAAGGCACACAAATGTGAGAATGAATTTGAAGCACAACATCTATCCCAGGCGACATGCCTGTTAATAAATCTAATTAGCAGATGGATGGTGATAATCCCTTAAGAGTGGCTTCTGGGGCAGTGGAAAATTTAACAAAACTAAAATCTACAAAACCTCTTGCTTCTTCTGGGCCTTCCTTTCTTGGCTTCTTCTTCTTCTTGCGAAACCCAGTCACGTAATCCCTTATCAATTCACGCATTATCAATACGCAGCAAAGTGACAGGTTCAGTTTTTTTTTTTTTTTTTTTTTGTATTTGATATTGCTAATTACAGAAATTAAGAAAACATCATTCTACCAAAAAGTGATGTGCGTCTGCTGCGGTACCAAAGTTCCTTCTCGCTGTCAGAAACGGAGAGTGCTTCGTTCTTGAGAACTCTCTTCTTTATAGTCTTCTTCTCCATAGTCTTTGACACTGCAACGGTACTTCCTCTCCACAGTCTTCCTTCATTGCAGCAAACGGAGCTCGAGTCACGCCCTTTTTCCTAGATTGCAGTGGGGGTTTAACGAGCCGGGGATTTCAATATGGGCTTTATATCGAGATATGTCCTGGGTATTTTGCTTTTGAACCCAAAGAAACATGGGTTTTGTGCTTTGTCTTCGAACTCAAAAAAATTGATGGGCCTTGTCCGTCTTAAGTAGATTGTGTTCTGTGCTTTGTCTTTGCAATTATTTTTTTATTAGGAGTGATAACCGTTAAGAGTTAGAATAAGATTGGATTCGGATTAATTTTTTTAAATATTATATAATATTGTAAAATTTTAAATTTTGATTTAAATTTAAATTTGAACCCAATCTTTATTTGATTTAAATCAAATTGAATTAAATTTTATCAATTTGATTCAATTCAATTTATCGATTTTTAAATTTTTTATATATTATTTTAATATAAAATTTTAATATATTTTAATATTAATTTATTATTTTATTTTATAAAAATTTAAAAGATACATAAAAATTAAAAATATATAATTTGATTTTTTTTTTAATGTCTTGATTTAAAATCCAAACTAAACTTAATATATATATATATATATTTAATATCCGAATTTAATTGAACCAAATCTAATATTACAATTTCGAATCAATTTTTTATTTTTTTAATTTTTTTCTCATCCCTATTTTCCACCACGAGTAGATTGTGTTTGCATAAGTCACAAGACTAACTGAAGCTTTAAGAAGTTTGGAACATGACTTAGTAATTTAAACATATGAAGCTCAAACTTCAATTGGAGTTTGTTTACATCATCAATAGGCTTCATTTATTTACATTCAACTCAATTATTTAATTCTTTTCCTACATGGTATTTGAAAATAATAATATAATATAGCTGGAGATTAAAAGTTAGTTGCTAATTTCATTTTTGTCATGACTTAGTCAGAAAAATTCAATTTATTAAATTTAAAATAATCACAATATGAATCACAAGTCATTCAAAAAAAAAAAAAAAAAAAGCGAAGATGTCTTGGCTGCACAATGCAAAAATCTCTTAGTTTGTTGCTCTCCTCTGCCTTATCCATAAGCAACATGCCTTTAACCTTTGCATCATTTGCACAGTGATTAACCAATAACTTCACAAATTTCAGTTCGTGCATGCTCCATTGAAATAGATACAAAAGTCTAGAAAAAAGGATACTACTGTCTATCTTCTGCCCTGCCTTATTCTTAGCACTTTTACATAGTATACAACACAGAAAGCAAAGTAATTCAAGTTTTCAGTCCTGTGTAATGTATAGCATATGAAGCTTTATAGCTCTCAGAATTTAGCACGTATACCACTTTTGATTTGTAATCAAATTCCTGCAACCATGCCACTCTTTGTGTTACTCGGTTGGATTTCTGTTTCTAACATGTTTCTTTTGTTGGCTGCAATTGCAGTTCTCAGATGGTTATTTGGACATGATTATCATTAAGGACTTCCCAAAACTTTCTAGCCTTGATGTCATTAATGTCAAAGATGAACGATGGGAGTCATGTCAAATCACCATATATACGTTACGAACCTTAAGGTGAGTTCACTAATTGGTAACCATTAACCTTGCTTGATTGTCTAACTTTGTTCTACAAAAGGTAACAAAGGTTATGGCCCTATTTTACCTAAAGTATCCATGTTCTGTGTCCTGTGACTAACTACAGGTGAAGGCATTTGTTTTGGTGCCTGAGGTCCTCGCAAGGGGAAACGAAACATATCAGGGTGATCAAAAGTCCCTTATGGCCTACAATAAGCTTCAAATAACTGTAGATCAAGGTTTAGCTACTTTCTTTGCGCCTGTATAGGACTTGGGTGTTGATCATAAACGAGTCCTATTTTGTGATTCCCCTGATTTGAAACCAAGAAAAAAAAAAGTCGTTTTTGACAGTTATTTTTATTTAATTTTGGCTGCAGAAAACCAGAGATAGAAATAATGGAATGATCTTTGGCAAGTTGATGGTCAAAAAGGTATTATTGGTGCACATTTTAATCGATGATCAAGAACATTCAGGAACTTTGGTTCATATTTCATTCTAGTTTCAATTTTCAAACTTAGCCTAATAAGTATGTCGTTTTGTTCCCTCTTTGGTTAGATCACTTTAATTACGTTGAGGAATGTTAATCGTTATTGGGAAAAAAAAAACACGACATAAAGGGGAAAATAGTTGGGCGTGGGACATGAAGCAGGTACGACATGAACCCACCAAAAGCGGAAGACAGCGTGATTTTATTTTATTTACATTTGTTCAGAGACTTCAGACCAGTCATGTGGCCTCAGACTCAAACGACAACGCCACACCCGTGTTTCTGTATCTTTGGTGGTTTCCTTTGCGGCGGGCGATCAAAACAAGAGGACCTCCGAGTCAATGCAATTGGGCAAAGGCACTCCCACTCGCAAGCACATGCACACGCACCAGGGGCTCTCTCGACTCCGTTCTGTGGCTTTGGTGTTCAAAAGTTTTGGATGACGTGGGTCCCTGCGACAAGGTTGATGATATGACCTACTAGATCAAGTGAATCCAGTCGCAGAACATTAAAGCAGTTTCAACTAAAATCATCATCTCAAAACTTGGACAATGGAGAATTGTTGAGGTCACTTTGGCCTTAGGGTATGGCCTGGGCTACCCCCCTCAATTCCCAATATCTCTGAAAATGTAAATCCTCCCAGTCTAGACTGTCAACTCCTATTAGACTTGACCGGGTCTGCATTTGTACGGCCATGTCATTTGTGCTGGAACTGAGATTTTATAGTATAATCACCACTTTGATCTCACAAGTTTAAACACTGAGCTGCGCTTAGGAATATCAGTCCATCTTTGTCCATTACGTGTTGGTTTTCTCCTATGAAAGAAGCGACAAGGAAAGTAACGTTGTTAGATGTGGTCGAGATTCAAAGTTTGCCATAGTTCGAATTTGTTCTTATCATCATCTCTCGCCCCCTACATTTCAAAGCAGATCCAGGGTTTCCCTTTTAGCTTCCGTAAACGTATATCCTGAAGATTCGGGCATTAATTTTACTGCGAAAAACACAGTTTTTAATGTTGGGTGAAAGGTTACATTCTTTGTTTCCTCAAGGAGAAATTTCCCCTGAAGCTAACTTGAGAACAAAACCAGTTTGGGCACAATTTGACAAAGAAGCTTCCTTGTATCTTACATAGGATCTCCAAAAATAGCAACTTAATTAATCAGGGGGCTGTGCTTCGTGATCTGTTGCAACTTGACAATTATATACAAAAATATTGCAAGTCTTTCGTACGACTATATGTAATTTTACTTTCATTTTAAAAATTGTAATTTGAAAAAAATATTAAATTATATTGTACACATTTTAACTACAAACTTACTAATAATTTTATGAATCAATTCAATTAAATTTTAAAATTTTATTTTATTTTCATTTTTCTCTATGATCCCATATAAGATATAAGTTTTTGACATTAAAGGCCGTATTGAATCAAATTAAAGAATCCTTATTCAAGTTAATTGTTTTGTTTAAAAGTGTCAATAGATAAAATATGAGTAAGTAAAACATCTTTCATCTCATTTTATAATTTTTATATTATACATATCTTGTATTTATAGTCAACAAATATTTCAAATTTATATCTTTCCTCATTTTCATAAGTATTTAATAAATATAAATAATTCTCGCATCCATAATTAAAAAAAAAATCATAATTTATTTTTTAGCTTTTTATTTTTATATTGCATAATTATGTAATTTTTTAAATATATTAATATTTATTTTTTAAAAAATATATTAATTTTAATTAATCTAAAATAATAATTTATATTATTTAATAAAAATTTATTTACTAAATATATATAAATATATATGTAGGATACAAGTATGGACATGTGTTATATTACGTGTCCTCATCTTTGTACTCATTAAAAAATTTTAAATTATATCCATTCTCATAATATCATTTTTATTCCATTTGAATAAAAAATTTTATTTTTTATTATGTATGAGTAAAATTAACATCCTAACTCTGTTTAGCAAACAAATATCCTATAATTGGCAAGATAAATGAACCATTATATCATGAATTTGTAATTGCACGTGGACATACACAAGACTCAAAAGATAGATTGCTATAGATTAATAAAAAATTTCTATGTAAATTAACGTTAATAAAAATAGTAAAAATTTGTTTATGGCATTTTTTGATGTCTTAACCAGAAGGAAATGAATAAAGTAAAAGGAAAAGACAATTGTGACCTGTAGCCATAGTCAGGGGGTGTTGGAATTGTTATTTCGAGACATGTTTCGACATTAAAGTTAGTAGGATACTTGAGGTAAGGTTAAAAAGTAAGGAGGAAGATGCGATGATAAAGTGTGTGTGAGAAGTTTTAATGAAGAGAAAATTCAAAACATGTATCTAGTTTGTGTTATCTTTAGCATTTGATATTTTACTTACAAATTAAAGGTGATAGTTTGATTGAGACAGTTGATAAGATATTTATATGAAATTTGAAAAGAATTTTACGTGAATAGATGAAAAATATATTTAATAATCATAAATAGATATGAGTTGCATTTAATAATTTCAAGTAATTTAAAAATTAACGGATCAATTTTAAAGTGACTTTTTTAATAAATTATTAATGGGACCTCGGATAAATTTTTAATGTGAATTATTCTCTTAAAATAAGTGACGTAATTATTTGAATATATTTAATTTGAATGATCCAAAAACCTAATTATATTGATCAAATTTTGGCTTTTTCACCGATTATCTTGGAGGTAACAAAATTTCTAACAATAAAAATGTTTAAAACTCAATACTTGGTACCAATTTTGGAAAAAAGGAATAAAAACAAAACATGAGTTGAACCAAAAAAAAACGGGGAAAAGCGCGTGTTTGTTTAAGGAAATGAAGCATGCGGTACGTGAACATGCATGACCTTGGCGGCGGGCCATGCATGATTTCCCCAGCACCATGTACAAACTCTTCGTAATGACCAAAAGCCCATCTTCATCTCTTTTTACAGATATTACAACGTACGCCATATTAATAGATATCCCATCGTAGTAATAGCAAAAAAAAAAAATTCTTTTTACAATTTAAAAATAGTAAAAAATTAAATTATTTTAGACCAGTAATGTATTTCTAATTAATTTTACAATTAAAATTTTAATAATTTTAAATTAATTATAAAATTAATTTTATAATATTTTGTGTAGAGAAGGGACTTTTCCTTCAAAATAATAGTTTTGTAATACTTATTATTTGAATCTGATTATAAATAATTAGTTTTAATATTTATTCTAATAATTATATAATTTTTGTTTATGTATTGTTTATAATTGATAACATATTTTTTAAAGTTTGTAACTTATTTAAATATTAAATTTATTTTAAACTTATTCGTTTAATTTTAATTAACAAAATATTTTTAAAATAATTAAAATTTATTTTTAATGAGTGGGTAATTTCGTAAAAACATAAAATACCAGTCCCAGACGTGTCAAAGGTCAACAGCCAAACCTAAATCTCAAAACCTGTAATGACTTAAACACCCTACATTTTTCGTAGATTGAAAAAATGAAAAATAAAGCATTATTATTTTATTAAAATTTATCCACGAAATTGACAACAAGGACAAAAAACGATAAAAAAAAACGACGACGCCAAAGATAAAAATGACCACGGACTCGACGTGTCCTTTAAGTTTATATATAAGCCTCAATATATTAGTTTTATCTATTATTTTCTCTCTCTCTCTCGCCCTCACTTGAAATTCACTCTTTCTCTCTCTAAAACCCCTCTCTTTTAACCTCTTTTCTTCTCATGCTTGTGCAGATCAGCCCTAAGCATACGGGTTGTGATGGCGGTTTTTAGTTTTATTTGTTGTTGATGTTGTTGTTTATGAAAGGAAGAAGCTTGGGATTTACGTTTGGGGTTTTTGAAATTTTGAAATAAAAAAAGATGACGTCAACTTCGGGAGCGGCTTCGTCGTCTAAGATTTGCTTCAATTCGGACTGTAACGACTTGAAATCGGAAAGACCGAGGAAGGGATGGCGGTTGCGAACGGGGGAGTTGGCTGAGCTCTGTGATCGATGCGCGTGAGTTTCACTTTCTTCTAGTCTCTGTTGACTTCGTTTTTGTCCGTTTCCTTTTTATTTTTGGTTTTTTTTTTCCTTTTTTGTTTTAATTTCTTATGAAATTAGGGTTTAGTTGCAGGAGTATTGTCATTTTATGGTTATATTAGAGCTTAATTTAGGAAATTTTGTTCATTCGAATTAGATTTTTTTTTTTTTTGAAATGTTGTCTTAAATGTGAAATATTGCTTAATTTAATTGCCATGTTATAACCTGAATTAAGCTCTTTGTGACTTTTAGTTGTGCTTTTGAGGAGGGAAGATTTTGTGATACTTTTCACTCAAAAGCTTCCGGTTGGAGGAACTGCGAGTCATGTGGGAAGGTTAGTAGAAACATTTATTAACGTTAATTTATTTGCTATAATTTGGTGCTATGATTTCGAATGTGTGCTTTGATCTTCCCTAGTTTTAGGTTTGGATTCTTTCTGGTGAGTTTACCTCTGCTTACAATTGTTCTTTTGCTGCAGCGGGTTCATTGCGGATGCATTGTTTCTTTTAATGCATTTACATTGTTGGATGCTGGAGGAATAGAATGCTTAGCATGTGCGAGGAAAAATGTTGTTTTGGTGAGCATGGATTATTTTACTATGTTATTCCGATGTATCACCTCTAGAATCAGTTTTTAGACTTTAGATTGGAATTGTTACTTTTAAAATAAGGGCATAATCTGTCATTAATTGTTATTTAGTTTTATCATATCTGAACAAAAGACATCCTTTTTCCAGAAGATGTTCTGTTACTTTTAAGTTTAAGGTTTGCGAGTTAAACTATTTCATAGTCAATAGTATTTGTTGGCTGTGGAATATTTTATAAATCTCTTTATTTCACATTCCATATCTCAGGCACCAAATTCTTCATGGCCACCTTTGCTTTTCCATTCATCTTTGTCTGAGAGATTTAAAGACTATTCTGCAAAAGGTTGGAGTCAGCTAGCTGGTTCTGGTCCTGTACCTTGGAGGCAAGCGCCCAGTTTGTTCAATTCTTCAATTCCTCAGCCTGAGTTGCATTCTAGAGTGCCCTATGAAGTTGACTTATCCACTGGAATTGACAGACTAAATGTCTCTGACAGACTATCTATTCCTTCCCTGGAGAAGACGAAAATTGAGGACTTTTCTGAAAGGTTAATGAATGGACCTCTGAAGCTTGGCGCTCCGGATATACTTGAGAATGGAAATGCAGGTTCAGAAAATTTTTCCCTGTATCAATCATGTTAGTCCTAGGAAACATGCAAGGAACATTAATGCCTGCATATGTAAGATGTGGATGTCTACCCTCATGCTTGCACGTACATTTTATTCTACAAAATTGTCTGTAAAAACAGCTTATAGAGTGGCTGCTGAACCTCTTGCGAACTATTTATTGTCCAGGAATCAATTGTGAGGAGCCGCCTAGTTCATGTTTAACTAAATCTCAGCAGCCTTCTCTGAAGGAGGAGCCATCTAATCCACCATTTGGGTTAGCTGTGCCTTATACATCTCCAGGTGATGCAAATGGTCAAATTGGGGTTTCTGGCACTCATTTGCGACCAAACCCCCAACCTCCACTGGCCAAACAACTTCACAGTAATCTACATAATGGGCTTGATTCATCAAGTGAAACTCAGATTCGTAATGGGAGGCCTCGACCAGATGGCCGTGGAAGAAATCAATTATTTCCTCGTTATTGGCCTAGGTTTACTAACCAGGACCTACAGCAAATATCTGGAGAGTATCCTTTTGCTTTTGTAAGGCATTCTTGATAAGTGGAACATACTAGGCCTTTTACCAATAATAATTGATTTTACTGAGTTAATTAACTTTTAAAAAATGAGCTTTGTTCTTTCATGAGAGACATATAATTTTTTGGGGAAGAAACTCCAGTAATATTAATTTTAAAAGTCGGATTATAGTCTAAAATATTTGTTAAACATTTAACTATTAGTACCTATATAGTTTTTCTGACATTAGTGCTTCGGTTAGGCTTAACCATGTTAAGTTCAAATTCTATAATCACTCCTTTGTTTGAGAAAATGTTGAGTGCTAGTGATGCTGGGCGAATTGGACGTCTGGTGCTGCCAAAAAAATGTGCGGAGGTTAGTCATTGCTCATACATGCTTAAGGGTTTTTACCGGCATTTGTTGTTTAATTGCTTTGCAATAAAAATTTACAGGTTGATGTTTATGAGGCTCGGCAGTATAAAAATTTTTGTTTACTTCAATTATCTAATCATTATTTTGTGGATGGATAGCAGGTTTTCACTTTATGCATTTTTGGTATTTCTTAGCATCCTTATTTTATTTTATTTTTTTTTACTGGAAACACTTTCGTCTAGTTTTGTGCTGTCAATAATTTTAATTCTTCTTTTGTTGAAGTTAAATATCAGCTCTGTGTTTGGCGTTGCACGTCTTAGTTTCTCGTTAATTGTTATCTAGATTATTGTCACATATATACTAAAATGCACTGATCATGAGACAGGCCTATTTCCCAGCAATATCTCAGCCAGAAGGTTTACCTCTTAAAGTCCAGGATTCAAAAGGAAAGGAATGGATATTTCAGTTCCGCTTCTGGCCCAACAATAATAGCAGGATGTATGTTTTAGAGGGGGTTACTCCTTGCATACAGAACATGCAATTGCAAGCGGGCGACGTAGGTAACAAATTGATATACTGAAAAACAATGATTTAGATTTCAGTATTTTGTGCTATGAGGCCCAAAGTATGCCATGTTCAAGTTATAGCTTAATCTGTGCCTCTCCTGTCAGATTTATTCTTTAGAATTTTTTTCTGGTTTCTTTTAATTGATGCTTGGATTTACCAGTTCATACATGTTAATGACAGGGTCGAGTTGTGTAAAAAATATGTGTGTGCGTGTTGCTTGTTGGCTGTTGCCAGATTCATTTTGGTTGTCCAGCAATTGCGTGTTTCAAACCCTTTTGCATTTGATTTAGTGTTCTTCCCGACATGGTGGCTATTTCCTTCGATCATGCACCATGGTTTGAGACTTATATCTGTTTTGAAACTGATAGTTATTTTCTTTCCTCAGTAACATTTAGTCGGTTAGAGCCTGGAGGGAAGTTGGTCATGGGTTTCAGAAAGGCTTCAACTGCTTCGGCTACTGAGCAGGTTGGTCTTGCACAATAATTTAGTACTTTCTATTCTGATTGTGCATATATATGCTGTAGAGCTAAGATAACATGAAATACAACTGGTTCTATAAGTGCTTTTGTTCCCCTTGTTCTTAATTCCATCTCAGGATGCAATTACGCTTCAATCATGGTAAAACATTATAAATGTTGTTCTTACTAAAAGCCATATTTAATTGTTTTTAAATTGGCCTTTATGGGACTCCTATTGACTCAACAGATTCAACCGGCAATTTACATACATTTTTGTGTTTTTTATTGGCAGGACAATGAAGCCAAAAATAGTAGTGGAGTTTCTATGCATGGAGATGTTAGTGTCTCAACACCTAAAACTGGTGATATTACTTAAAGTATTAATTATTTAAAAGATAGCCAAGGTTCACGCAGCTTTTTATCAATCAACCAGGCTGAAATGGCAGATCCTACTTCATGGTCAAAAGTTGATAAGTCAGGATACATAGCAAAGGAAGCATTAGGAACCAAACTAGCAGCTTCAAGAAAGAGGAAGAATAGCATGCTGGGTTCAAAGAGTAAGCGACTAAGAATAGATACTAAAGACCTGATAGAGCTGAAACTAACATGGGAAGAAGCTCAAGGGCTGCTCCGCCCCCCTCCTAATCATGTACCCAGTGTTGTAGTGATTGAAGGTTTTGAGTTTGAAGAATATGAGGTATGGCATGTCTTTATTTAATCTGTTTGTTCTTTGACCACTTGATTAATCTGTTGTGATTGAAACCACTTTTGGTTGTAAGTGGCAGCAAGAGAAGCCTTCTACTCTTCATTGTGGTGTTTGTTAATTTTTTGTTGGCAAATTGAACTCCTGTAACATACTTATCTAAGAATTTCTATGTTTCATACACCGTTTGACGAAAATGTATAGGGTTGGTCAAGAACCTTTATATTGTTAGTTATTTATGGATGCTACCACAGATCTAGAATAATTTAGTTGCAAGAACATTTTCAATCTGTCTTCTAGGCTTTTTCAGGCTTTTTTTTTTAATTAAAGATGTGATTCCATTATCTTGATTGACTGTTGACTTTTCTTTTGCTATAATGCGATGGTGTTTATTGTTTTTGGGTTGCCTATTAATAGTATTTTGATTCAGTATATATTCTACAAATTTTATCCTTTTGTGGAGTATCCTCTCTTTTTTCTTAATTGTTCTGAAATTCCTCAATTTTGTTGTGTTAATAACAGGATGCACCGATTCTTGGGAAACCAACAATTTTTGCAACTGATAATTCGGGGTAAATCACTTTCTTGTTGATGCTCTGTCTTATGTTAAAGAAAAATTGATCAATGTAGTAGTTAGTAACTTAGTACTTTGCTGTGATTTAGCTAATTTCGTGGATTTGTTGAAATCTCTATAAATCCTGCATGATATCGAAATATTCTATTGTATTTACAGTGGAGTTATTGCCATGGTGGGTTAATTCAAATATTCTGTGAATTAAAAATGAAAGTGAAGCCCAAACATTGTTTACTTTGTTAGCTTGTTTTATGGGAACCAAGAGTTATCTTAAACCAAGCAAATCCCAATGCTTGTCTCTTTTGTCAGGGAAAAGATTCAGTGGGCTCAATGCGAAGATTGTTTTAAGTGGCGTAGATTGCCTTCCAATGCTCTTCTTCCTTCCAAATGGATCTGTTCCAGTAACTCGTGGGATCCAGAAAGGTAAGCACTCCTTCGAGTGTTTATCTCTATTTTGCCAATACTGTAATAATACTAAATATTGTCATACATTTTTTTATTCTAGGTGACCTGTAAATGTGCTGTTTAACTTTCTCAACCAAATCAATTTAACACCTTTCGCACCAAAAAACAAATAAAAGGAAAAAGAACCCTGGAAAAAAAGTGAAACACAATTATTTGTTGTATGGGCATTACATGACCACTTCTGTTTTTGTCTACCATACTGGCAGATCTTTTTGTTTGGCCCCTCAAGAATTGACAACAGAACAGCTGGAAGATCTGCTGCCACACTGTAATCCAGGTATTTGTTGCTTGAGGAAAAATAATACTAATTACATTTTGTATGACTGACGTGGAGCAAAATATGAATGAATTTGATTTCTGGACGATGATTTTTGTGTAAAATGCGGATTCTTTTATTTCATTTCCTATTGTGAGATTAGCAAATTGGTTTTTGTGTTGTGATTGACAGCTGCTTCTAAGAAAATGAAGGCTGCTAAACGTGAACCAGAAAACGTAGATGCTTTAGAGGGGCTGGACACTCTTGCCAACCTAGCTATCTTGGGAGAGGGTGAAGCTCTCCCTGCTTCATCTCAGGCCACCACAAAGCATCCCCGGCATAGACCTGGCTGCTCATGTATTGTATGCATTCAGCCCCCAAGTGGGAAGGGCCCCAAACACAAGCAGACATGTACTTGTAATGTCTGCCAAACAGTGAAGAGACGATTCCGCACACTCATGCTGCGCCGTGAGAAGAAACAGTCACAAAAAGAAGCAGAAACTACATGCAAGAAGCCGCAACCTTCATTGCCTGATAAAGTATTGGATGATGATCCTGTCCCTCGTACAAATGCAGGGAATAGCAGTCCAAACGTGAAAAAGGTTGTCAGTGAGGGTTCAGACAATGATCCTAACAGAGTAAAATCCTCGACTTCACCTTTTAAAGGCCAAATTGACTTGAATATCCAACCGGAGCGAGAAGAAGAGCTGTCACCTGGTGCAGATTCTGGCAGCATGATGAGATTAATTCAAGATGCCACTGAGAGGTACCTTAGGCAGCAAATGTTGAGCTCTGGTGGCAATAGTAATTCTGACGCTACTCAGACACCCCCTGGTGGCGGCTCAGAAGGAGAAAAAATCAGCAGCAGTGTCAATCTTGGGTCCAGTCATCGAGATTCTGACAGGGACCATCCAACAGTTTTCTCTATCAAAACATCTGCACCCTCATCAGCTACTGGTTAGCTTAATGCACTATGTTAGATGGACCATTAGCAAGGAATCACTATTGTGTTAAGGGCGATACAGTTTTGATGACACATGCATCTTCATCTTTATTGTTCTTCACGGCTGTACATAAAAGTGAAGAGGCTATCAGGTCGGCAGCAAGGTTAAGAAACTGATAATTTGCTAATTAGTTTTTATTGTCATCCTCTCTACAGTAATGTAAGTGAATTTTGACCCACCTGAAAAAAAGAGGGGAAGTAGAGAGGGGGATGATGATGCAAATGCAGCCAGTGGGGTAGGAGGTTGAAGCCACGTGGGTCATTCTAGGAGTTCACCTGCTACACATCAAGGAGAATCGAGGATGTAAATCAAGTGCCTGCTTTTCCATGCGGTCACGAGGAAAATGTGCGTAGGGGTAATGGAGTGTACTCGAAAAACCTGCAAAAGTTTGGTAATCTTGTGAATGATATAAAAAATCGGCGGATTACTGCTAAACTGAAAATCATTGTGGTTTGATTTTTAGAAGGGTTTATATACATTGGAGTCGTACAAGTAGGGAGAAAATACAAAGAAATGGAGATGGCTAAAAATCATCACATTCACTAGTTTTTGACCATACATATATCAGTTTGTGGGCATTTATAAACCAATGCAATTCTGGAGGTTTGGTTTAGAACATATCTCTTAGATGAACCAACTCTGTTCGTTGTCATGAAAAAGAAATTTTTATGTCTTTATGTCGTCATGATGTCATCACAAAGTGGGTTTAACCATCTCTGTTACAAGAACAAGGCAAAATAACACTCCCTCTGCATTCAGAGGGCTAGATTTTAGGGTGAAAATGTGGATTGATTGACATTGGCATTTCGCTGCCTAGAGGATGTTGGTGGATTCATGGATAAAGAAGGATATGACCAGGTCAACCAAGTTATCTCGATATCCACTGGAAAGGAGGGTCATTGATTGTTCTGGAACGAATTGAATGTCCTGCCTGCCTTTTTTTAGATTAGCTATTCTCAAATAATCTTATGCCTCTAATATCTTCTTTCTTACCAAAATTAAGGGAAATTAGCCTTCGTCCCTTGATTGGTGACAGTTTTCCTTTTGTCACCTCCATTGCCAATAGCAGTTGATGAAGAGGAAGACAAAGCCCCAAATTTCCCAAAAACGCCAAACACTGTAATAAAAACATTAAAAATTAATATTACATTAGTTCATGCGCAGCTTCATCAACCCTTTAGGGTATACTTTAAAGAAAAAAAAGGAAAGCACTGAAGAAAAAGAGAAGTAATTTGAAAAGTTCCGGCAAGATGAATGATTTGATCTCAAGTTCGTTCAAGAAATATACAGAACTGAAGCAACAGGCCTACCTGGATGACATAGAAGCTGGAAATGAGAGCGTTAATCTCGATAAGTTCTTTGAAGATGTTGAGAATGTAAAGGAGGACATGAAAAGTGTGGAACGGCTGTATAAGGCATTACAAGAAGCCAATGAAGAGAGCAAAACTGTCCACAATGCAAAGACCATGAAACAACTACGTGCCCGAATGGACACGGATGTTGAGCAGGTGCTTAAAAGAGTCAAAATTATCAAGGGAAAGCTTGAAGCTTTAGAACGCTCCAATGCGGCTAGTCGAAACGTTCCAGGTTGTGGTCCTGGATCATCTGCAGATAGAACCAGAACATCAGTGGTTAGTGGCTTGGGAAAGAAACTGAAGGATTTGATGGATGATTTTCAAGGATTGAGATCAAGAATGCAATCAGAATATAAAGAAACAGTGGAACGCAGGTATTTTACGATCACAGGGCAGAAGGCTGATGAAGACACAATTGAGAATTTGATATCAAGTGGTGAAAGCGAAAGCTTCCTGCAAAGGGCCATTCAGGAACAAGGAAGAGGTCAGATTATGGATACCATATCGGAAATTCAAGAAAGATATGATGCTGTCAAGGAGATAGAGAAGAACTTGATTGAGCTCCATCAGATATTCCTGGACATGGCTGCACTTGTGGAAGCTCAGGGTCACCAACTCAACGACATTGAAAGCCATGTTGCTTATGCTAGTTCCTTTGTAAGACGAGGTACTGAACAACTTCAGGAAGCTAGGGAATATCAGACGAGCTCGAGGAAGTGGACATGTATTGCAATAATTGCAGGTGCTGTCCTTATTTTAGTCCTCCTCTTACCCCTTTTACCAACAATTATAAATCTGTCGATAGCAAGAAGAGAAGGGAAAATCTCTTTTTGAGATGTATTCTGATTTTCAGCCTAACAAAATTCAGTTTAGATCGTACATATAGCAAGTTTCTCATAAACTATTGTGTTTCTGATCACATGAGAAAAAAAGTGTACTAGACAGGAGTTTTCTCATAAAAATAGCACAATTAAAAATGAGAGTTGGGGAAATTCCTTCACCATTGGGCACTCTTGATTCTTCTATCCAATCAAGTTGGAATCCAACAAAGTTGGAGCCAATCAGTATGGGAGAAGATTTTGTTAAACAGTATTCCTCCAAAGGGTTCCGGAAGAAGAGCTAGTTTGAGACGATATTGTTGCGTCGGTGGTTACCCGGGCATCTCAAATGTTAAATTGACCATGTTTAAATAGCTGTTTGACATCCCTTTTTTTAATGAAATTTCACTGCTTTTCTTTTTCCACTTCCTTTTGTCGACATTATTGGCTTGCCTGATATGGTCTGGATAAAATAGACGTTAAAAGGCCTTCAGTTCCCAGTTCATTTACACTGAAGGGGTATGCTTCCAGTCCTAACGTCCGAAAATAGAAGCCTAATCTTCATTGGACAATCTACAATCCGTTTTCTACAAGTCCAAAACATCCAAAATTGAACAAAAATACAGAGATTTGCCTCATTTCTTTGCCGTGTTTAGAATGCCTAACACCATGAACTGCATTGACTTTGAATTCAAGAATTTCCACCATGCCAAAAATAATGCCAGCCCTTAAATGGGATTATACTGGTTTTGGAAACTTTCAGCTATGTTGGATAAACAATTTATATACAAGACAACATTCATTAATGCATAACAAATAAACTACCACGGTCAAAAACATTAGGAGAATGAATACATTAATATTACAAAACCAAATCAAAGCACTAATTCATTCTCATAGAAAGACACCAGAAACATTTTCTCCATAATCAGCAAATAATAGCATCTTGAGCTTAACAAACCAATAATTCCCAAAATGTATACACTGTTACCAACTTAATAATCCTTCTCAGACATCACTGGGAATCCACCAGTTTGCACTTTGCAGCATTAAACAAAAATACCGTATACCAGATCACTTCAAGTACCAGCATTAGGCAAAGCGGCCATAAATGAATTATATGAAGATTCCAAGTCAAAGTGGAGCTGCCTAGCTTGCTGCTCTGTTAACTCATCTGCTGCACCCATCTTTGACAACCTTGAAATCCATTCCTTCATCTTTGTCTTCCCCTCGAAATCAGGTGGCAAAATACCAAGCTTATTAAGTGATGCTGAGAGGTCAGACAACAAAGGATACACTTGGTCAACTGCCACCATATTGAGCTTCAATGAATCCATGGCAGTAATAAAATTCTGCACGCATTCAGCCACAATGGCAGCCGAGGTAGTAGCGGACGCAGCCGCAGCAGCCCTGTGCTCCACAGTGGCAGGCACCCCAGAGGTCACCAGACGATTTATAGCAGCTGGGCAGTCCATTTTATATGTATCTGCAAAGCGTTCAATGCTAGGGACTGTGTCTTTGAGTGTAGAAGCTAAGGTTTTGAAATGGGCAATAAGCTTTTGGCACTCAGTTTCATAGTCAGATGATGAAATAATATCCCTCACATAAGCCTTCTCAAGCTTCTCTGTTGCTTTGATAATGGCATATAGCTCTGCAAAATTCTCATACATTTCTCTCTCGCGCTTGTCGTTCCATAGCTTAACCTCCATTTAGGCAAGACTGGGTATTATTATATTGAATAAAAGGGTCAACTTGGGATCAAATACAAATGGCGTTTCGAGTTTGAGTTTGTACGGTTGGAGAAGAGAACGGGACACGCGCAAAGAGAACTAAACTTTATTCACTGCGAAACAATTGAATCAACAAAACAGAAAAAAAAAAAAAAAAACTAATCAGATTACCATCCATTCATTATCAAAAAAGTTTTTTTTTTTTTTGCATAACAATAAATCCCAATCAATATTGAAATCATTAAAGAAAAAGAAAAAGAAAGATACCCACAAATAAAAACATGAGCTTTAACAATTGTTCCTCATTAAACACCAAACTTGGGAAATATTAAGACATTTAATATTGTTCTTTAGTTCTATCTGATTTCCTAGGCAACCAAGCAGAAAACCAACGAAGAAAACAAGCTTAGAGCATAACAAACAGATGATGAAGAACAAAAATTGAAAGAACCCAATGATACTTCTTACCTTAGTTCATCCCAAAAGGAGTAAAGCCCTAACAAAATTCAATGTTCACATTGCAAATTATAAAAGAAAGGAAAATTAAGAAAAAAAATAGAAAAAAGGATCGTCTTCACTTTTATTTATTTGATAAAAATAATAAACAAAAAACAATAATAATGGTGTGGGGAAGCTGCAATGGCTTACAATTACAAAGAAGTGAAACGCGGCTTTGGATGTCGTGCAGCGGTATGGTGTGTTGTTGTTTTGCAGCAGAGAGAGAGAGAGAGAGAGAGAGAGAGAGAGCAGAAAGGGGCTTGCGTGTGGGTTGGAATTTATCATTAGGTGCTTACGGCATCTATCGATGCGTAGCAGTTGGGACTAACCTGAAAAGTAAAACGCTGTTTTCATGGCATGGGTCCATGGTACTACCGGTAGTATCATCAATATGGCTTATGGAATGAGCCATGAAGCCTACAAAAATTTGTTAACGTTAGTCCAATGGACCACATTTCATGGCTTTGTCGGCCCATTCGTTAAATCTTGAAGCAAATCCGATTCCTGTCCTAACCTCCTAAACTCAAAATTAAACCAAAAACTGCGGGATCCAACACGACACAGTCGCTAGTTGCTCTTCTTCTCAGGTCAGTGAAGCAATTTTCTCAGAGGTTTAGGGTTCAATCATTTGGTTTTTAATTCTGGGTTTTATTTATTTTTGCTGAATGTGGGTGGCAAAGGAACTATACCCATCTCAAGATGACCTTGTTTACGAAGAAGAACTGTTAAGAAACCCCTTTAGTTTGAAACTCTGGTGGAGGTATCTACTAGCTAGATCAGATGCCCCTTTCAAGAAAAGATTTATAATCTACGAACGAGCCTTGAAAGCTTTGCCTGGTAGTGACAAGCTTTGGCATGCTTATTTACGCGAACGTCTTGAAATTGTTCGGAATTTACCTGTTACTCTCCCTAAATATGAAACCCTTAATAATAGTTTTGAGAGGGCGCTTGTTACAATGCATATGATGCCTAGGATTTGGATAATTTACTTGTTGACGTTAACAGAGCAGAAGTTGATTGGTAAGACACGTAGGACGTTTGATAGGGCGCTTTGTGCGTTGCCTGTAACTCAGCATGATAGGATTTGGGAGCCTTATTTGGTGTTTGTGAGTCAAAGGGTATCCCTATTGAGACGTCGCTTAGGGTTTATAGGAGGAATTTGAATTATGATCCTCGTCTTATGGAGGATTTTATTGAGTTTTTGGAGAATTCTAATCTGTGGCAAGAAGTGGCAGAGAAGTTAGCATCTGTTTTAAATGATGATCAGTTTTATTCAATAAAGGGTAAAAGTAAGCATAGGTTGTGGTTAGAGTTGTGTGACTTGCTGACAATGCATGCCACAGATGTTTCAGGGCTCAATGGATGTGATAATCAGGGGTGGGATTAAAAAGTTTACCGATGAAGTTGGGAGACATTGGACTTCCCTTGCCGATTACTACATCAGAAGAAATCTGTTCGAGAAGGCCAGGGATGTTGTGAGGAGGGAATGACAACGGTGGTTACTGTGAGGGATTTCAGTGTCATATTTGATGCTTATTCACAATTTGAAGAGAGTATGGTGGCTCTTAAGATGGAGAACATGGATTTGAGCGATGAGGAAGAAGAAGAAGAAGAAAAATATGTGGAGGAGGATGAAGATGACATCTGTTTGGACATTGATCTGTGCAAGTCAAAATCCAAGTTTGAGAAGAAGATATTTAAGGGGTTTTGGTTACATGATGATAAGGATGTTGATTTGAGGTTGGCTTGGTTAGATCATCAGAACTGGCTAATAGCATCCTTTACGCCGGAATCCACATGATATGGAGCAATGGCACTGTAGGGTCAAGTTATTTGAGGGGAACCCCACCAAACAAATATTGACGTACACAGAGGCAGTTAGGGCAATTGACGTACACAGAGGCAATTGACCCAATGAAAGCTGTTGGGAAGCCCCATACTCTGTGGGTGGCTTTTGCGAAGCTATATGAGACTTATAAAGATCTGGCAAATGCTCGTGTCATTTTTGATAAAGCTGTCCAAGTAAATTACAAGACTGTTGATCACCTGGCAAGTGTATGGGCTGAATGGGCAGAGTGGAATTGAGGCACAAGAATTTCAAAGGTGCACTGGAGCTGATGAGACGTGCCACAGCTGAGCCTTCTGTTGAGGTCAAACGAAGAGGTAATCCCTGTTTCTGTTCATGAGTAAATGATATCTGAATTGAATGTTTGGTTATTACATTCCTTTTGACATGCATAGCTTCATATCCTATTCTTTTCCATCTCATAGTCTTAAAACGTTTTTTTTTTCTTTAAAAAAAAGAGACCAATGTTATCTATGGTTAGTATCTTATTAAGCTTAAGAAAATTTGCAACAATTGGTTATTTGTGGAACTAAAACTAACTCTTGCATCTTTGGTCTATTTTGTTGTTTACAGTGGCTGCTGATGGGAATGAACCTGCTCAGATGAAGCTCCATAAATCCTTGAGGCTCTGGACATTCTATGTAGATTTGGAAGAAAGTCTGGGTACTTTGGAGTCAACTCGAGCAGTCTATGAGAAAATACTGGATTTAAGAATTGCTACACCACAAATAATTATAAACTATGCATTTTTATTAGAGGTAAAAACGGTTCTGTACTTCTGATAAAACAATTCCGTTAAAATTTTTCCTTAAATGGTTTGATGGACTAACAAGAGTTCTAACTTGTGCAAGAGAGCAAATATTTTGAAGATGCTTTCAAAGTGTATGAAAGAGGTGTCAAGATATTCAAGTATCCACATGCGAAGGATATATGGGTTACTTATCTGTCAAAGTTTGTAAAGAGATATGGGAAGACGAAACTGGAACGAGCAAGAGAGCTGTTTGAGCATGCTGTTGAAACGGTATGCATATTATTATCCTTTCAAATCCTAAGGCTAGTTATCACTGTTGCTGAAGTATTACGAGCATGGATTGTTCGCAATTGGCTTGATTTACATTTTGCGTAAATGAAGTAGGTTTAAGGTCACTTATTAAGTTGTAATCAATGGAGAACCTCTTGCCAAAATTATATGCTTATATGTTTCTATTGTTCGGGTTGATTTCAAAATTTCTAGACAGAAAGAGGGAAAGGTTCCGTCAACCTCAAAGCATAAGATTCTTGGTAAAATGCATGTCACAGAAATAACTTTAAAACTAGTTAGATGACACTACTCTCATTCTGCCTTTGGCTGCTTATAGGATTGTTGTCTGTGCAAGAAATAATAATTTTCAGATGGTGGCTAGCTGTTAGTACCATGGATTTAATTTTAAAGATGTAGAGTAACATGATTACATGGAGGCATGAGTTTGACTGTTTGGAAACTTCCCTTTTAAAGTTTATGATCTGCTTCTTTTTCTTCCCTTTTTTCTACCTAAACTTTTATATTTGACTTAAATGATGCTGAATTACCACCAATCTTCTATGATGCTGATTTTGACATCTATTTTCCCTCATTTTTATCAGGCACCTTCTCTGGTGCTGATTTTTGGGAAATATGGCGAGAGCTTGTGCAACATGGAAATGAAGATACCTTCAGAGAAATGTTGCGGATTAAACGGAGTGTCTCTGCAAGTTAAGCTTGTTGTTCTTTTCTATTGTACAAAACCAAAAGCGCACAAGCTTAAAGACAATTGGAGTTTAATATTCATTGTTTTGTTCTTCCAGGCACACTTACATTCTCCCATTGATGAAGATAAAGACAAATTGAAATAGTCTGGAATCTCTGCTGCTAACAATGCTATTGCTAAAGACAACACTAGAAAAGTAGGCTTTGTGAGTGCTGGAGTTGAGTCACAGACCGATGGTGGGCTGAAACCTACAGCAAATCTTGAACATATTGAGTTGCCAGAAGAAAGTGACTCGGAAGAAGAAAAAGTAGAAATTGCTCGAAGGGATGTTCCATCTGCTGTGTTTGGAGGTCTCGCTCAGAAGTCTTCCCGGAAGAGGGAAGACGACTGACGACAAATGGCGGTGGAGATGGAGATAATGCCTCAGCTGCTAAAGTCAAGGATGGTAACAGCCGTCTTGGTGCACTTGAGCGAATTAAAAGGCAGAAGCAAGCTAAAAAAATTCTAGTTTCATCAACCCTTTTTTTTTTTTTTTTTTCACTGTTTTCTCAATTCCAACCTTTTAAACCTATTGGAGAAAAGATATTTCCAAAAATTAATCAACATATATACACTCTTTTTTATTATTTTTTTTATGTGTTATGAAGGAATATAGAACTACGGTTAGCCGATAATTAGAGGCTAACTTGTACGGTTAACCATTTCCATGTACTGACTGATTGAGTGACTCTTGCCTCTGCAACCGAATCTCCTCATTAAACTTCTTTATAAACGCTTCCACGCGACGGTTCAACTCGTCCTGACTCAGCGACGGCTCTTTCCTCAGCCTCCCTGAAGCCGGAGAAGAAATCATTTGTACAGGTGGCAGCTGGTAATTTGTCCGGTCTCTCAACGTGTCCGATTTCTTCACCAGACGCGGGTCGGCCAACGCCTCCACGCTGATATCACGTCCATGATTCTCCCACGTGTCCGACTTCTTCAAGTGCCTCGTCAACGGTTCTGCTTTCCCTTCCATTATCATCTTCCACGTGTTCTCCAGCGTCTCATGCAGTTTTGGCTTCGCCACTCTCAACGCTCGCCCACCTGCATTAGCCACACATAATTAATTAATTAATTAATCTAACCGAGTAACCGTTAACATTTTTTAAAAAAAAATATTGTGAAAAAGATTATGCTGTTTTTACCTTCAGGATTGGCTTCTACATGTTTCCCGTGACCGAACCTAGAAGAAGCCGGGGGTTTCTCCGGTGGGAACAGAGCATCCGATGGAATCTCGGACGAATCCATTCTCCTTGGAGGAATCCACTCCGACTTGGAGATGGCAAACTCGTCACCTCCATCTCTACCATATTCAACCGCCACATCGCTCTCCTCCTCAAAAACCCTTGTTTCCTCCTCTTCCTCTCTATGCTTTTGCTCGTACACGGAAGCATTCGATGCTACCACACCGAAATCCAAGGCTGGCCATTGATCCACCGAGATCTTCGATCGCGGCTGCACCTGCTCCGACTGTTCTTTCTCGCTGTTGTTGTGATGAAACCACGATGATGCTGCAATTGTGATAATGATTCCATTGATGACGATGTAAAGATACGGAGGCTTCAGCCAAGAACGAAACGTGCTCCACAATAACGGAGCTTGATAAACAGATAACTCCAAAACCAATGGAACAGAGCCTTTAAGTCCCAAAGCTATAGCCAATTTACCAATAGAAACAAACAGTACCTTCAACGACAACATCCAAGTGATCGCCGACGCCATTTTTACATGTGAAAGAAACTGCTTCTGGTGTGAGGGAGCGCTAAGTGAGATGAACGAAGATATATAGGGAGGGAGAGTGGGGACACAGTTTAAATTGAAGCTTGACCCTAAGGATTATGAGGATAGGTAATTTGACGGTTGAGATTTGTTACGCGTGTGAGTAGTTTCGGAGGTTCCGTAGTGGGCCCAGCTGTAAAAAGAATTTGTTGGAGACAGAATTTATAATTTTCCAATTAAATTGTTAAAAGATAAGTCGACAATTTGATCCTTCCGGAACTTACCATCATAAATCATAAATCAGTCCTTTCTGACTTTTTCTTTGTCCCTTTTGTTTTTTTGGATAAATGGAAATAGAAGCATATTTTCCAACGGTCATATTATTGACCGTTAGCGCTGATCCAGCGGGGGCGATGGGGTTCGCTCTTTGGGCATGTGCCCGACCGCTTGGTTGGTGCACTGCTCACTCACCGACCAACCTTTTTCAGTTTTTCTTTCTACGAGTGAAATGTCACGGACTACGACTTAGATTGAATTAAATTTGATTAAATTTAATTTTTTTAAATAATATATAATATTATTTAAATTTTAAAATTTAATTCGAATTTGAATTGATTTTTTTTAAATTAATTCATTTTGAATCAAATTTTATTAAATTAAATTTTTTGGTTTTTAAATTTTTTTAAATTTATTTTTATATATTATTTTCGTAAAATTTTTAATATAATTAAATAAATTTATATATAAAATAATTATTTTATTTTATAAAAATTTAAAAATATATATAAATTAATAAAATAATAATTATGTTCAAATCAAATTTTTTTATTTTTTATATTTGAATAAAAAATTTAATCTGAATTTAATATTTAAATTTAATCAAAATTAAATTAAAAAAATCGATTTAAATCAAATTGAATATTATCATTTTAAATTTATTTTTAAATTTTTTATTTTTTTCCACCTTTATCAAATATGTAATTGATGATTTTATTTTACGTAAAAGCATGCATTTTTTATAAAACCCGATTGAAAGTAGCTATAGGTCCACACTGTGGAAAGTCAACCAAAAAATTAGTCGTATTATTCATGAACACCTACGTACAAATATAGCCTTTCATGCAAATACTACGTACTATGGCTAGCAATGGGAATTGATGAGATCATCGTCTTAAATTAATCAAGCAGTTAAAATGACTTTCTTAAAGTAAATTTTCGTCCCAAAAATCAAGCTAATTTATAAGAGATGAGAGTGGTAGTTGAGACTCTTTGCCTTTTGGGCCATGTCTGGTGCCATCTGTTTGCTTGCAATTTGCGGTTTAGGGGATAAGACATGGAAAACCTACTGATTAAGACCTTCAAAATCATGGAACTGTTTCAGCTGTAAATTACAAGTTCTTTCTGGATCAATGCTGTGGTAAGGATTTGAAATTAAGGCTCCATAAAAAGGATTAAGAATGAAGGCTGAATAACGAGTGCTTTCAGCTAAAACACGTGTAGGTCCATTTATATTCCAAATGTTATAGGATTTAGACTGCATGAGAAGATACAGTTGATTCCATTAATCAAAACTCCAGAGAAGAAGAAAGTGCATGGTAGTTGGTGTATCGATTTCGGCCATGTATTTTTCTGGATATATAAACAAGTAATGCTTCACCATGTGGTATGTGTCATCATCAATACATCAAATAGTTAAGTATTATATTCATTGCAATGAAGAAAAAAAATGAGAATCAAAGTCGGTTGGTTTGACAAACAAGATAATGTTATGGATAATATTGCAAATATGTCCCACAAAGGTTACAACTAACATCGGAAGTTAATGCTTCTCATTTGAGCTAACCACCATTCTGTCGTAATTACTCGAGGAGTTGTCTTGTTCCATGTTAGCTAGCTTGTTTGTTTTGTCGAAAAAGTGCATTGAATTCAACTGAAAAAGACAAGAAGAAGATACATCGAAAGGGTTGTGGGGCAATATACTTGAGATAGTTGGGCTTTGGCTGAACCCCAGATGGAAGAAACATCCTGGAAATTTACAACTTCAAACGATGACGGTGGTAGGAGTAGATAAGTCAACAAATTGGAAAATCCTGTTTTTTTTAATGGTAAATTAAAATTGGAATATATGGTGACGACTTGATTACGGTCAAGAACAATAAATATGGAGATGGGACTGGAAGAAAAAGGTAAGGCACTTTTTCAAGTCTACAGTCCAACTAGTCCGTTTAGTGGTCTGACGCCGTCCTTTTGTTAGGTGCGTGACAGATTGCATTCCTCCATTGGAACATGCCCTGGTTTGTTTGTATGTTTTGTTTATTTGATGTGATTCTTAATTACTAGGTTTCCAATTTTCCTTTTGGATATTTACATAGATTGTTATTTATTCAATCTGGTCAATGAGAAGCTGAAAGCTGTCTCTGCTTTGAAGATCAGATGATCAAGTTTTAGTTCATGTTCATGTTAGGTTGCCTATATGGTCATTCTCATTGAAAATAAACCTTGGAACACAGCTTTAATTGTAGCTACATATGCCTGTTTTATTGTACTCTTTGCGTGTATCTCGTATATTAAATGCTTAGCTGTGTGATTTAAAGAGGAACTATAAATCTCACATGAAAATAGAGTTGAAACAGACAATATCTTACATGTACTGAGCTGCGACATTAAATATGTGGGCAACTGCCTATTGGCTATCCTGGCAAAATGTTCATCTTGGCATAATGTTCGACTAGCTATATGTCACATTTCGGCATGTTTGGGCTTAGATTGTTTGATTTCCTGCTGGATAATAATATATAGCGCTGTGTATGGAAGACTAAAAGTTCCTCAAGAGAAATGTCTTTTTTTCTTGCAGATATTCATGTTTGATATTCAAAAGCAATTACTATAAAATAGAGCACAAGCATTTCTAAGCTTATATTATAATGCCACAAGAATAAATATTTTCTTCCGATCACACCTTGGGCATCCCAATTATCATTCATTTTTCTTGTCTAGCTCTCCACTATAAGGTGCAACATGGTATGCATACTGCTGGAGAACAGAGAAAACCACCATCTCTAGACATACCAATACGTTTTGCAGTGCTTCCTCGAGGTGCTCCACATCCAACCAGAAATGATGAGATCGAATGATGCCCATGGCAACTAGTATGTCAAGCACCAGTCCCTGCATGTGGTCAATTAAGGCCATTACCGAATACAGGATAGCAAAGTTTAACAACAAAATCGATGACAAAAACAAGGACAAGTAAATATGAAGTTGGTAGTATTAGGATGAACAGAGTTGCAACTTGCAACACAAGGCAATGTTAAGAATTTGACTACATGCACAGCTTGGTTTTCAAGTTTAATTAATACAACAAATCGGTCACAAACTCTGCATTAACAACAAATTATTGAAGAATTTGTAGGGCTCAAATAAGAAAGTTCCACTCTGAAACGTTAACCCCGCAATCTTCTTAGAAGGAAGAAAAGGAAATTTCCAGCCAAAGGAAGAGTGAAGAAAATTCAGAAGATGCTATATGGTTTGCTAAGTTCGAATAACCGTCACATATACTCTGATTTACAATTCTTTGATCACTTGATCTGATTAAGTACATAATGCATTTGATTGTGTGTTGAATTACCTAGATTAGTCCCAATTACAAAATATCCTCCCCTGTCCATAGGGAGGAATATTTTCCTTGGAGAGGGCAAAATGCTTTTCCTGTTGCAAATTATGAGTCTTGGAAATAGGTTTGGTTAGTTTTACTCTGGAGCTTCACTGTTATTGTTATGGGGTTTGAGAAAACAAATATCTACCTTTCATGGCTCTATTGTGTGTGAACTAGGTGAGCTTTTTAAAAAACTAAAGATTCATTGAAAAAAAGGATAGGAGAGAACAAGGTTTTTACCTGCCAAAAGCAGAAGAATACAATCCCCTTGATGCACATGAACTTTGCAAGTGGCTTGTGAGGAGCCAACTCTTTGGCGAAAACATGGTAAAAGATTACCAAAGAATATAATGCTAATGAAACAGAAATATTGAGGATGATAGTGAATGTCCAGCTCAACCAAGAAGGATAAATCCCAAGGATTTGCAGTGTTATCATCAAGATAGAACACACGGGTCGGATGACGACGAATTGCCATGTCCAATACTTAAGAAGCTTTAGTGTTCGGTGGTTCAGCCTAACAGTTCTAGGCTGTAGTTTGAGCAACCGCAATGTATCAAGATATTTGATTAATAGTGCAACTTACTGTGGTAGCACACTAATTGAAAATTTCATACCTGAAAAAGGGTCATTGGAAATGAATGGTGAATCTCTCTTCCTTTGATCTGATCAGGTACGATATTTTTGCTAATAGATATATTCAAGTAGCTATACATCAATGCCAGAAACTTAGCAATCACCTACAACCAAAAGCATCCAAAAGCAGCAGTGATTAACAAAAATAATCCAACAAAGCCAAATTCAAAGATTGAGCGAAAAAGGGCACTCACTAAAGCCTCGTAGCATTCCTTGATTGACTCCAAAAACATGAAGAACGCTTTGCTTCCTCGAACATCCAATAACCCCACAAAAGAGTCAACAGCATAAATAGGAGCCATAAGGATAATAATTAGTATAGCTTTCTGCTCCTTTGGGTTTTTCCAGTGGAAAAGATGCTGTGATAGAAGCTGCACTGTGAAATACAGTGTAAGCATCACACAAAATGCAGATCCCATCAGAGTCATTTGCCCACGATTCAAATGGCTGCTGAAGTCCATGGGTTCCTGCTTCAGCTAAGAGATGAGAAACTCAATCCAACGCGGGAATCTGCAAAAGATAGAACAACGCTGATCAGGAAAACCAACTAAAGTAAAAAAAAATAAAATTAAGAGCTACCCAGTTTGCAATAACAGAAATTTAAGATAAAGATTTGGGAAACCAACCTGATAAATGAAATCCTTGGTGGGATTGAATAACAACTAGAGTCCAACGATGCAGTATGACTAGAAGTTTTAAGGTGGAAGAAAAATCCGCTGCAGATTGTTAATCTAATATAGTAAAATCTTAATATAATAATTGCTAGCTTTAGCATTTACCTACCCCCAATTTCCACGTTTCCAATGTGTAAATAACATGGGATCGAGTCTGATTTCGCCACGTGAAGGTCGGGTCAATGGTGAAAATCTGATTCGACGTCAGGGCTTCTGGGTTAGCTTGAATCAGAAAATTAATGCAATGGAGACAATTGGCTTTATGAGGCTCCCATAAAATTTGGATTCTCTCACCATACACGTATTTGTTCGTGCCACCATGCTGGACTTAACTGCACAATGACTGATAAATAAGCATAAAAATGTATTGCTCAACTTATCATAGTTTACGCAGTTTGTAAAAGTTTGTGTTCATTTGCTCTTTTCAGAATTGAAATTTGAAGGGATACAGGTTGAATCAATTTTTTAAAAATAATTATGTAAATTTATTAAATTTTTTTATAAAATAAATTAATTAAGGTAAACTCCTATGCAACCCTATATTTTTCTCATGTTAGTAAACAAATTTTTATCTTGTAAATGTTATTTTTTTATCTATTTTTTTCCATTATTCAGAAATTTGCTGAATTTCTAATTCTATTTTTTTTAAAAAGGAAAATCTTATCTTCCTATTTAATCTTTTCACCGTCGTAATTCAAGAATTACAGTATACAGATAGTTCTCTCTTCTTTTGACTTTTAACCTCACAGACAAGGAAAGTAACAGAATGAAGAAAGGCATGCTTGCTTCTCAGGTAAAGCATGGCGGTACGTCCGTTAAAGCGCAAAACAAGGGTAAGCCTCCTGTTCACGAAAATCTAAGGTTCTCACTTTTCCCGGTGATCAAAGACAAGATATTTTGCGGCATTTGTTTTTCTCTTTTTGGTGGGAAAATGATCTTCTCTTTTCTTGGTTCCTGAGAAAATGTTTGTTACCATTTGATGATTTTCAAATTAAAAAGAAAATTTCCCTTTTCTCCCTTTTCTTGAAACCCATGAAGAAATAGAATTAAAGGGTCAAAATGGGATTTTTGTGTTCTGTTCTGTTCTTTTCTCTTTCTTCATCTTCTTATATCAACCAAACAAAGGATTCAACATGAAAAATAAAACTTTTTTTTTAAAATACAATTAAAAAGTTTGCCTTTTGACACTTTACAGAATTCACTACATGGGTTTTAGCAGAATGGGTTGGCTAGAGCTACTATGGATTGGAAGGGTGCTTGTTCTTATGCAATTAGTTCATGGAGTAGCTGGTTGGGGAAAGGATGGTCATTATGCTGTATGCAAGATAGCTGAGGTGAGGCCTCTTCTTTCCTTTTTTTTTTTTTTTTTTAAATTATTCTTCTGTGTATTATCTGTAGCATTATGATTTTTGAATAGTTTATGGACTGTCCAAATGTTTTGAACAATAAGGTGAGAAAAAGTTTAAACTTTTATTGACATTGATGAGCTTTGGTATTCATGGAACCAGCTCAATAAATTGCAGATTTATTTTTGGTTTGGTTTGGTTCTTTAATTTATTTTTGGTGTACGTTTTTTTTTTAAAATTACTTTGTGCATATGTAACTAACAATTCTATGCAAAGAATTCATTTCCTGAGGGTATGATTTTTTGCGTGGTTGTTGTATGATGTTTATTCTTGAGTGGCACAGAAGATTCAAAACTACCACCTAACATGATTCTTTTTTTGGTCTTTCATACAGCCGATCTCAGAGCATGAGATATAAGGCTTAGTTTGTTGTTGTTGTATGATGTTTTGCGTATGTTGGCTGAGTCAGAAGATTGTGAATTTCATATGATTGTGCGTTTCTTGATTCTTCAGGGATATCTTACTCAAGATGCTCTGGCTACAGTAAAAGAACTGCTCCCTGATTCAGCTGGAGGTGAGCTTGCATCTGTATGCTCCTGGGCTGATGATATAAAGTGGCAATGGACTAGTCCCTTGCACTATGTTAACACCCCAGATTTCAAGTGTAACTATAAGTACAGCCGTAAGTTTGGTGTCGTTCTATTTTCATGTTTTGGTTCTGCTGATGTCAATATTGCTTTGTAGTAGTTTTTGTTGACTTTTCTGCTGTGGCATTCTTATAGGGGACTGTTATGATTCTTACGGACGTATAAATAATTGTGTAACTGGAGCCATTTTCAACTATACGAAGCAACTTTTTTCAGCATATCAGGGATATAAACCGAAGTTGAAATGTAAGTATTGTTTGTACTCCTGGTTGCCACGTATACATGCTATGACATAATATTTTCACCCCGCATATGGTTACTTTTCTTCTGTTGGTGACAGACAATTTGACGGAGGCACTTATGTTCTTAGCTCATTTTATGGGGGATGTTCACCAGGTTTGTTCTCTTCTGCTGGAAGCTCTGAACTTAACAGGAATTCCATAGATGCAATCATACAAAGTATGCAGTTGCATATATTCTGAACTTATGGCAGTGTGTTTTATGATCATGGATAACTCAAAATAAATTTTTGGAGTCTATTATTACTGTATCAACAAGTTTAAGAAAGAAAAAGAAAAAGGGTTGGTGCAAACCTACTTCATTTACCATGATTTATCTATATAAGAGTGGTACAGCTTTTCTATACAATGTTTTACTTATCTTATTCTTGTTTCACCAGGAAGGGTGCTTGTAAAAAACCAATCATTGTTAAATGCAAGAGCTTAATCTTTAAAGCTTATTGGTTTAGAATGGCATATTATAGCTTTAAAATGCTAAACTTTTAGAAGGTACAATGAATATTTTCTGTAATTCTGAATCTCTATGTATTTCTCTATGTAATTCTGGTATGCAGTGTTACTAAGGACATATTTCCTGTATCCTTTTATCCTTCTTTTTTTAACTGATTTTTCTTCTTACTTTCATGTGGAAGTATGAAATAAAATTTGTTATTTGTTTCTTGAGGAAAAAGAGAGTGCACTTTCCAACCTAACATTTTCTTTTCTGATTACAGCCATTACATGTTGGCTTCACAGGTAATGCTGGTGGGAATACAATTATGGTCCGTTGGTACCATAGGAAGACAAATCTACACCATGTGAGCACTTCATTGTCCTTTTAAGTGCATCTTCCTCCAGCATCCCTTTTTCATTTTCTTTGTGATAAGCTGGAAATTGATGTTGAAGCAAATTAATTATGCACAAACATCATACTGTCTTTGTAGCCACTATATATAGTCAAAACTCAAAAAGGAGGGTGGGTGCGGTTGAGGAGGGTCAAGAATTACATTTCAAAGCAATATTGGCCAGTTAGACATCAAAAGAGGCTGTTAAATAACAAGTAACTTTTGACCCAACTTATCAGTTGTGAGAGAAATAAAATAAAAAGGAAACGATAGATGCAGGAGCTGAGAGTTATTTGAAGCAAATGTATATTTCAGTGATGAAAACCATTTTCTTGCCTCCTCCTTGACCAATGGTGGATCCTGTGATAACTCTTCTTTTTGGCCCGACTTATTTGTCAGAATTTTTGGATGGAGATTTCCCTTTTTAACAAGTTTTTCAAAGAAGAGATTCAAGTCAAAGGTGCTGATGTACTCATGCATGAGAAAGTGTGCGTGTGTTTGGGGCCTATTTATTTCTTCTCTATGTAATTTTTTCCAATACTATCATTGTTCCAGGTTTGGGATAACATGATTATTGATTCTGCTGTGAAGACATTCTATGGATCGGATCTTGCAATAATGATTCAAACCATCGAGAGGAATATTACAGTAAGCTTTTTGTTTTCCTTCATATTCACTTGTGCATGTAGCTATTTTCTATAGCATATAAGCACTGAGTGTCTTGAATATTGAAGTAAACTTAGGGAACAATAGAAGGTTTTATGTTTGTTTGCTTTGAGTGTCTTGAATTATTCAGTGTATTTGACTCAATTAACAAATACAAACAGAGCACTCAAGTTTAATTTGGACTTTAGGGAACCAGGAATTTCTCCAGCCCCTCTTTTGTTGTTTTGGGCTGTTCTTTTTCCTACTTGGGTTTAGAGTTGTATGTATGTCTAAAACAACCTATGCAAATGTACATGTAACGGTGTGATTCTTATTGATGTTCTTATGTTTCTTTATTCATCTATAGGATGCTTGGTCCAATAACATATCATCATGGAAATATTGTAGATATGAAAAAACCGTTTGTCCTAACTGGTAAGTATATGTCACAACTTATTCTTTCAATCTTTCTGATGCATATGCTGGACTACTTCAAGTGTATTAACTGTCATGTAAATTGTTAAAGCATATTAAATTCTGAAAGAACAGTCATATTTCTGCTTTGCTTGATTGCTGATGTCTAATAACAAATTAATCCATTCGCTTGCATTAAATGTGCAGCAGTTCATATTTTGGTTCTACTCATGCATGCCTGAGAGAGAAATGTTTTCTTTAGTTTGATATGCTCCTTGATGCTAAAGATGCCTGAGCGGAAATATGTAGATATACATGCTCCAAACCTACAAACTCATATTTAGTTTAATTCTGACTTTCTTATTTTAAGTGCCAAAAAGGTAATTAGATTACCTGTTGCAAGGCACTGGCACCATTAGACATGATAAATTGCCTCTATACAGGTATGCTGCTGAAAGTGTTAGGTTGGCATGTAAGTTTGCATACAGGAATGCCTCACCTGGAAGCACCTTAGAAGGTATTTTCTTCTTCCTCCTTTTTTTTTCTTGTTTGATAATTGGAAGGCATCTCTTTATGGTGCATCTCTTTGCTCTTTTGTTGAGTCATAGATCAAAGTGAAAACTTGTTGGATAGAAATGGTAAAATTGCTGCTACTATGTCTATGAACTGGCATGAACATGACTGGATTACTAACCTTTTTACCTTTCTCTATAACAGATCTGGTTCCAGTATTAGGTGTAGTATGTCTTGGTTTATATCTGACTGTTGTTAAATATTAAAGGCATCAATATAGGTTTTAAAACATTGTAATGTGCAAAGATCAGGCCTCGTTTTGAGACCAATCATCATCTTAATGAGTTTATACAAGGTAATGGCAAATTGTTTCTAAAGGAAAATATCATGAAAAGAATACGTCTCTAGATGCTTTTTGTTTCTAAGGAATTGTCTTCTGTTATTATTGATTGAAGGCAACTATAAACAAACATTTCATGAGAAAGAAGTATAAATCACTTCTTTGTAAAGGCCCCTGCATAGATATTTTCGTATCCTGACCTCAATTCACATAAAGGAAATTTCACCCATTCACTTTGATGCACTTGGTGAGAAATATCAGCTAAAACAATGCCAGGTAAAATGCATAACCATTCTTTTCTTTCGAGATAGAAAACCAACCTGGAAGCTGGGAACAATAGCCAATGATAATTTCCCTGCTAGTCAATGTCATCTATTATCTTTTTCTCTTTGACCATGCCTTTAAACATTATTTTTCCCATAGTTGGAATAAAGACGTGCTAAAAATACTGAGATAATGTTATATACTACATGATTCAACTCCTTTCCCATGAGACCAGATGAGCTATCTTAATTAAAATTTTGTCTCATCTTCTTGTAACTCATTCTTTTTTTGTTCCATAGATGATTATTTCCTCTCTCGGTTGCCTATCGTGGAGAAGAGACTTGCTCAAGGTGGGATTCGCCTTGCTGCTGTGCTGAACCGACTATTTAAATCTGAAGTGAAAATTGCTCGAGCTTGAAGATAAAGGACCAGAGAGGCATCTATAAATTATGAAGTAGGGACCACTGTAGTATTGTTCATAGCTTAAACTATTAAACACGAAAGGCCTATGTAACCAATTATTTATTACTCATCCCTTTGTCAACTCTTTCAAGACAAGAAATGTTAATGAACGTGTCATGCTTATAGCTGATTGTATTGCTGTTATTCTGCTGATACCTCCCATATACCGGAATATGCCATCACATTGCTTGTGTTTAAGGTCAACCTTTGGGTTAATTAATAGTGGAAATTCAAACTTTCACTCGATGATTTCCTGTTATCTTAGGTGTGTGTATATATAAAAATAAACCCATTCTAATGGGATCACTTTGTTTGTTGTGTGTTGTCAAAACTTATAAACCAGAACATTAGGTGTATTAGGCAGTAAGAAAGGCTCGAGGATGGTCACTTTGTGGAGGGTGTCTTCATTTGGTTTATTTTGTTGGTTGTTCTGGCTCGAATTTTATTGCCCAGAACACAGGCCTGGAGGAAAGAGGGTCACATTTTGACATGTAGGATTGCACAGGTAATGTTTATTCCATTTTTTGCTTAGCCTTGCTCTTTCTTTGAGCTGGTAGTTTGCATCAATTTATTTCCATCATTAAGGAAAGGCCTAATAAGTAAGAAGAAATTATATGAGGGTTAAGCAAGTGAATGAAAATGTTGTTTTTAATAGAAACTAGTAGCCGAAGAAGATTAAAAATTATGATTTAACATGATTTTTTTTTGGTCTTTTATATAATCAATATCAGAATTATAAGATATAATGTTTAGTTTGTTATTATTGATATTAACGAAGTCAGGTTTCAGGCACATGGTCGATGGTGATCCACCACCATCTTTTGGATGAATAAGAGAAGTGCAGTATTGAAGAATCAAGAGTATTTGTTTTTTGTTCAAGTTGGTTTTCATGCATGAGACTTCTTTTTACACTGTCAATTGGCAAAAGATGGGGAAAAAATTACTATAAATTGGTTAACCCTTGTTGAAAAACACAACATACCACTTGATGGACCGTAATTCGAATTCATGCCTGCAAACCTCGTCAAACAACACTCAAACGCTTCTCAAAACAAATAACCATTGACGACTATTTACTGCCAAATTTCATAGGGTCTTTTAGAGCCGGAGGCTGTAGAAGCTGTTGAAAATTTGCTACCGCACTACGCCAATGGAGACCTATCGTCCCTATGTGTATGGCCCGACCAAATCCGGCATTGGTACAGATATCGATGGACAAGCTCACTTCACATCATTGATACTCCAGACGATGCTTGCACGTATGACCGTTCAAGTAAGCAGAGAACTCAGCAATTCTTTGCTCATAAAACGATATAAAATCACCTGAATTAAATAATGTAATTATGTCATGTGTTTTAGGGGACTGTCATGATCCCCACGGCTTGAAGGACGTGTGTTGCTGGTGCTACCTAAAACTTCACCTCACAGCTTTTGCACTACAGTGAGGGAACTTCAGATCGTCGACGTAAGGAAGCTTATTTTCATAAAACTAATCCCCTGTTCTAACATTCAAGTATTACCTTTCCTAGTAATATGCTTTGATTCAATACCATGGCTTCTTTGTTTCTGCAGATAACATGACAGAAGCCTTGTTGTTCTTGTCATACTTTATGGGAGTTATCCATCAGGTTTAAAAATGTGGACTCAGCTAGCAAATGTTTTCTGTATACTATATCATATTGCTTTGGCGGGTTTAATTATTTCTTCTTTCTTTTAGCCAATGCACGTTGGTTTTACAAGTGACGAAGGAGGAAACACCATCGCGTTGCGCTGGTTTAGGCACAAATCTAATTTGCATCATGTGAGTAATGATCGAAGTGGTTATTTTGTTCAACCCCTTCTCTTCCATACTTATGGCTAAACTTGTTTATATCTTCTTAGCTTAGCAAATATAGCTAACAAAAAGTAATTAGCCACACTTGTGAATTTCAACAATGTGCAGGTTTGGGATGGGGAGATCGTTCTTACAGCTCTAGCTGGCTACTATGACAAGAACCTGGACAGCCTTCAAGAAGACCTCGTTGGGAACATCACCGATGTAACTTAAATTTATTCTCAGTTACTACTAATTCTAGCATGTATTTGTGTTTACCTATAATTGTTACTTTGATACAGGGGATCTGGTTTGATGATGTAGCATCATGGAAAGAATGAGATGATCTTCTTCCTTGTTTGAACAAGTTAGATTCCTGACTCTTTCAAACAATTATACACTTGGGAAATTCAGGAAAATGAGTTTTTCCTTTCCTGATCTATTTAATCAAAGCTTCCATTTACATATGTGTAGGTACGCTACAGAGAGCATAAACATAGCTTGCGAATGGGGCTACAATGACGTAACATCAGGGCAAACTCTGGCAGGTACGTGTGCTACAGCGTAAAGCATTGAAATTAATACCAGTTTTTATGGTCCCCCATTTTCGCTAAAGTCATCATCAATGCAAGTTATGTACGTTTCTAAGAGCAAAGACCTAAAGCCTTAAGGGGCTATTAATTCTTTGTTTTCTTTTTTTTTTTTGGTTATAGATGAATACTTGAATTCCAGGATGCCAGTTGTTATGAAAAGAATTGCTCAAGGAGGTGTTAGATTAGCCATGATCTTGAACAAGGTTTTTTGTGAGTGTGAAGAAAGTTTTGCAACAGCAACCTAACAGATGCAAATGACCAGAAAATCGAGGCAGATGCTTCGTTAACCACAGCCCATCATTGAATTTGACCTTTCAGAATAACTTTATTTATGTATAAATGTATGTTCAATGTTTAACAGCACCGTATCTATTCATTTCCCCTTTATAATTTAAACTTTCATAAAAGAATTTGTTAGTAACATAAACGGCAATATCCTTAAAATTAGAAACCCAATATGCCGTTGGCTCATAGCCAGAGAACAAACAACTGGTAAATTTGTTCAGCCAAGGCAATGAGGAAGTGCCTCTAACTGATTAAAGGGGATAACCAAATCCCCCTATCCTTCTAATTAGCAAAAGAAGATGAATGCAATAGCAAAGCACTTCTAATCTTGTGCAATAATTTGTCAAAAGAAACTTGCCAAAGCTCATTTTTTGAAACGTACATCGACCATGCTGCCAATTCACTCTATTAACACATGCAAAATTGTATGACAAACTGCCATTTGGTTTTGATGGGGGAATCCAATAACAACACAATTTTCACAAGAACAATGCTTCCCAGGCCACAAGGTTGACGTATCAAATAAATTGCTTAGTCAGATTGGGGTTGAGGAATGGTTGCATTTTCCGTCTGTAGATGATGTATTTGCAGTTGAAGATTGTGCTGGTTTCCTTTAAAAGACAGGGAAGTCTGTGCTCCCAGCTCTAGCTCAGGTTGTTCCCTTATTCTTCTAGAAAGTTTTGCTTCCCTGATCTATTTCGTCCTTTTCCTCTGTTTTATTCAATGTTTAACCTTACATCTTCCTATCATGGTGGAAGTATTGGTTAATCAAAAGCTTTTCAAAGAACAACAAATACTATAGTTAGAAAAAGTTTGAAATTACTAATAGAATCAATTCATTTCCTTGTTCTTGGCGGATGACATGTTTCACAATTGATGAGCTAATGGTTTTTCACTCTTTAAACAGGTTGCAGAAGGGCAAGCAAAATACCTGGTGGAGGTGTTTTAACAGGATTGGGAAACATGATGGAGGCAAGGCTTTTAGTGCCAAGGACATGTTTCTACGGGAGCCTTTTGTCTTTAAGCGTTCCGGAAGCATGGCATCTGTCGTCGTCACAAGGCCATCGTGGATCTTCGCCAATCTAAGGTAATCAATAGCCATTTCAAACATTGAAAACCACGTGCCTCGAAACATTTTGAACAAAGTTTAGTTTGGCATTTGTCTCTTGAGCCTTGACTTTCTACTTTTTAAACAATATATTTTATGGTTGTTAATAATGAATGCTGCGCTGCCAGGCCGCTAAAGGCATATCACTTGCCGGGTTCGAAAGCAGGTTGATTTGGCACTGGGCTTACTTGACGCGTGTATTGAGTTGGAGAAACAGGTTTTATGTGGCAGTGAACTGAGCGACCACGCTGCTGTTTGGCAGACAACTCCAGGATAGGTTGACACTTGACAGAGCCTCCATCATCCACGGCTTCATCATCCACTTTGACTGGTCTTTAATGTTATGAATCTTATGCTAAATCTTTGATTGGTTCCCACATTTACTACTCCTTTTGTATATTTTGGTGTTGGCTTAATAGTGTTAACTGGTTCTGAAACACAAAGGATTGCAGCTCCTAAATAGAGACAGGGAAAAAGCATAAATGCAAGCATACCCACGAATTACAGGGAAAAACCAATTCAGATAAACTGAAATTAATAGAAAAACAAAATGAAAATTCATTTATCTGAAAGCTATCGGTACAAGCTTTGTACAAATCTGACATGAACATAAGAAAAAAAACAGCCCACATCTTTCCTATGACAGGTAACACCCCCTCCGACTCTCTTACAACAAAATTTCCCGCCTTTTTTTCTTTTATTTTTTATTTTTTGTGAGGGAGAAAGAAGCAACCTAGGACAAGTGAGCAGCACCTGCCCTGCGACTACTTAGAGAAAAAATAGAAGCAAAAGAATGGGCAATCCCCACCAATATAGCCACTTTCACTTGGCCCCTCCTTGGGATCGGGCGACCAGCAACCCTCGGTGAGAAATTCCCACAGTTGATCATTTCCCTCCTTGAACCTGCCATTTCTTTTTTCTTTTCTTAGTTTTCACAAAGATCTAATCGAAAGATTGAAGAGAGGAGAAGAAACCAGACACCTGCCTTAGAAAACTTGGGCACGAGTTTTGATGTGTCGGGTGAATTGTGTTGTGTGTGAATCCCATGTTGTCGCTTGTCATCGCTTATATAGACAGAAAAACAAATGATTGCCCTTCGTTTCTACCACATATTACTATCATGCCCCCAGAGTTTGACTAGCACTTGGCGACGTCGACTTTTGTCTTTTTGCACATTTGCATGCTTGCATTCACATTCTGTAGTGTTCTTCTTTCTGTTGAATTTTGACCAAAAGTCTTTCATTTTGGTACTATTTCTGTCATTCAGTGAACTCCAATCCATTTTCCGCAAACGAACAAACCATACCGGCAATTAGTGTTTCATTTCGCAATACTTACTAAATTATCATTGTTTGATTATTCCAATAAAGAAATAATATCGTTGTCAAGCTTGCATGATATAC